GTGAATCTTAAAATACAACTCCTTCAACTACGAAACCTCAAGAAGACATCGTAAGTTAGGCTGTGTCAGGTCGGCCCCTTTCAAACATAAAGATTTAATGGAGATGAGTTAAAGTGAGTCTTGTGGATCTGGCCTTAACTGGTAATAGCAAACGTATTTGTGATTTGCAGGTGAAAAGCTTAGCCAGGGTGTTAACTAGAGGGCACTTTATGCTGTTTTATCTATCATAGGAGCATCCAAGAGGGCACTTACGCAGCATTTAGTCGAACATTGGGGCTCTAACCACAGCCATGACCTGTTCTTTCCTGAGTCTTTAGAACAACAGACTTGAGTGCCCTTTACGATTTAATAAGATTCTACATGTACGGTATACCAGCATTTAGATAAATGGAGATTAATGGTGAGATAAAAGGTGTCCTTGCTCCTTAATTTTCCTAGACATAATTCCTTTTTCCCTGTGTAATCTAGTTTATCTGATCGAGTCAAAGAAGATGAAAGTGGTGAAACGGCTGAAGAGGAAGGAGTCTAGGAATAAGTCCAAGCCATGGGAGACTAGTTGTAGCTTTTCTCCTTCAGACTAAAACCTTGTACAGCAGAAAGCTGCTGTAGTGGCTCACAATTTACCAATGAGAGACAACGAATACAGTCTTTTTTTTTGCTATAATTATTTACACATAAACTTAACTAATTTTTTAGCCATATGAAGGCAGCAGAAACAAGTTGTAAACACAGCATTGATATAACTTTTATTTCAGGTCAGACCTTTAATAACACACAGGAGGAAATTCTCAGCATAAAAAACACAAACATGAAATATAAACACAGTAAAAAACACACTAAACCCCAAATTCCAGCAGACTTTCATATTGTTTTGTCATTTCATACATTGTTAGTTCAAAATTATTGATTATAGCTTTAAATCCTCCACCAGGGGGCGTTGCTTATATTCTAAATTAATCGTTAGTTGCAGCCCGACAACCCTGTCTCCTAAAAAGTATGTTTATATACAATTCAGCAAAAAACTTTTATACAGTTTTATATATTTCTTTGACCAGAATTACAACGTACAACCATCAACTAATACCCAGTTAACCAACACTTCAGTTGTCAGTTAAGAATATGAGTACCAGCTGAACAACAGTGAAGTTAATAAGTCTCACGTTTAACAAAATACAGGATCTCCTGCAGACTCCAGTCCCACCTTCCTGTTATGACATTCTTGACTGAAAATAGGAACCTGGTGCACTTGTTTGGCTCTGCAGGGGCAACATGAAACACTGCTGTGCACCTGTCTGTCTGTCTGTCTGTCTGCGCTTCTCTCTCTCTCTCTCTCTCTCTCTCTCTCTCTCTCTCTCTTTCACCCCAACTGGTTGAGACAGACGACCATCCACCTAGAGCCGGAGGATCTGTCCTAGGTTTCTGCCTTTTAACAGGCAGTTTTTCCTTGCCCTTGTCGCCAAGTGCTTGCTCATGGTGGTACTGTTGGGTCTCTGTAAATAATGTTTTAAAGAGTTTGGTCTAGACCTGCTCTATTTGAAAAGTGTCCTGAGATAACTTCTGTTATGAATTGGCGCTTTACAAATAAAATTGAATTGAATTGAATTGAATTGAATTGAATTGAATTGAATTGAATTTAATTGAACAGGCCGCTGCCCAGAAGCTCCGGAAACTCCACTTTGAAAGCTTCAACAGGAGGTGGAGGCTATTAATCGCTCTGCTGATAAAGCAGTGGAGGACAGTGAGAAGATCTTCACTGAGCTGATCAGTCTCATCCAGAAAAGAAGCTCTGATGTGAAGCAGCAGGTCAGATCCCAGCAGGAAACTGAAGTGAGTCAAGTCAAAGAGCTTCAGGAGAAGATGGAGCAGGAGATCACTGAGCTGAAGAGGAAAGACGCTGAGATGAAGAAGCTCTCAGACACAGAGGACCACACCCAGTTTCTACACAACTACCCCTCACTGTCAGCACTCAGTGAATCTACATCCAGCATCAATATCCGTCCTCTGAGGTACTTTGAGGATGTGACAGCGGCTGTTTCAGAGCGCAGAGATAAACTACAGGACGTTCTGAGAGAGAAATGGACAAACATCTCACTGACAGTGACTGAAGTGGATGTTTTACTGTCACAACCAGAGCCCAAGACCAGAGCTGGATTCTTAAAATATTCACGTGAAATCACACTGGATCCAAACACAGCAAACACACTGCTGTTATTATCTGAGGGGGAACAGAAAAATCACGAGTGAACCACAGTCTTACTGTAATCGCCCAGACAGGTTCACTTCAAGTAGGCAGGTCCTGAGTAGAGAGAGTCTGACTGGACGTTGTTACTGGGAGGTGGAGTGGAGAGGGGCAGCAGTTGATGTAGCAGTCGCATACAAGAATGCTATGCTGGACTTTGGTTTTACTGGTCTTTTGGAGACATTGCTGAGTTCTGTAAACTCAAATGGACATTTAACATAATTTAAGGAAGAGTGGGTTGAATTCTGTTTTAATCTTTAAACTTCTTTTTTCTGCATGTTTGTTGCTGAGAGCTGATTGATCACCTGTCAATCAAACATTATGGGCAGTACTTTCATGTCTTCTTATTTAATAATACGTAAATTAGTTTCTTTATGTTTTTTTGTTTACCTGAACTGACATTTTTCTACATGACAATGTAATCTTCTCTGTGCCACTGTATAAATGTTTGCTGAATATGTGTATCAATGATATGATCTGTATGATCTTTAGATAGGTTGTACATGTTCTGTTTTAATCACTTCATTGCCTTTATGAGAATGTATAGCAGCTGATGAGTGACAGGAAAGCGAGGAGAGAGAGGGGGGTGACATGCAGCAAAAATCCAGATGTTGGAATCAAACCCAGGCCACTGTAGTAAAGCCTCAAAGACACTGATAATTACATTTACTTTTATTTGCTTGGCAGACCAAATGTTGTTTCTGTTTTTACATAGATAAAATTCTGTTGATTGTGAATTGTTGATTGTGAATCTGTGCATGAAATCATTGAACAAGAGTCAGGTAGCAGACTTTACTGATTTACAAACTGAAGGTTTACATAAACATAAAAGAACAAAGTACTTTCTTCTAGTCTTCATTCCAGAGTCTCATACAAAGCTGATGGAGGAAATGTGAAACTAATATTAGAGAATATAACTGAGGTTCAGTCTCTGTCCTTTACAATGTCCTCACTACAACAGCTTTGTCACAAAGAAATGAGCAGAGTTTTCTAGCACTACTTAGTCAATAAAAAAAAAAGTTATAACACAAAAATGGGAAATAGTCAGTATTAATTGTTTTCATCAAGTTTGTGTGTGAAGACTTCTGCATACACAGTGTGATAGTACCTATATTTAAATGTCTCTTTACTGATGTTGGTTGAAGCTACTAAAGGCTCAGTGAAGATTTTACATATCTTCTTGCAGTGAACATTACAGCAGCTGAACAACTGTAATGTAAATACTGATGCACAACACAAGATGGCGCCTTCATCCTGCAAACCAGGGATGTAATGGAGGTTAAAGCTCCTCAGCTCACTTTGTCTCCATGTTTTAGACCACGTTTCTCAGCAGATTGGAAATGTTCTAATTGTGCCACACATCATGGTCAGTGATGTTCATCAGGCAGTAAGAAAGCTGCAGCTTCAGTCTACACCCATATTTATTTTGTATTATTGTGTTGTATGATATTTAACTGTGGTTGTTGAGTAACTACCTTGGTTGGTTGGTTTTACGCTGCTGGTGTTGCAGTTAATAGCACACAGATTTTAAAAAGTCTATTAGTATTTATCACAGATAATATTAAATCAAACTAATTTCACTTCGATTTAGCCAAAAACTAAAGAGATTTCTATGTGTCCTTCATCATGGGACAGTGTCAGACCTTAGTTGCTCCCTGTTACTCATGAGATCCAGTAGGTAGTGGACTGCTGACTCTCATTCGGCCAGATTGTCTTTGTTGCTCAGTGCAGCTTTGTTAACACTTTCTCTGCTTGTTCCTGTCATAATGACCTTCGGCCTGTTTTTAGATTACCACCTGCCTGCCTTGTGTTCTGAGGGACTCCAAGTTTTATACATAATGCCCAAATTTAACAGAGCAGAGAGTAAGGTAAATAAGGCTTGGTTTTGTCATGTGGCGCCCAGCATAAACAAAACAAATTCTGCCATCTGCTGGTTCCATAGGCCTATTGAAGCACATTAAAGCGTCTTGGTGTTTGGTTTGACAGTAGTTTAAGTTTTCAGAAGCACACCAAAACAATCACGTTTTTATCATCTTAAAAGTATTTTAAAAATCTGATCATTTTTAACTTTCGAAGACATGTTTTACATGCCTTCATCTCATCATGCCTGGATTACTAACCAACCACCTTTTCACCTGCCTGAACCAAAAATGTCTTGACCGACTCCAGACTGTTCAGAACTTTGCTGTCTGCCTTTTGTTTTCTCGACATAAAGGCATTTAAAAAATCATTGCGGACCACTTTTGGCCACCCCAAGTCACACAATGCCACGCTGATTTGAAGACCTGCCGTTAAACAATGACATTTTATTTCTCTACTCCACTCACTAACGCCGCTCCCTTTCTACATTCACCTAGCTTGCTCGATCACCGCTGCTCTCTCGCTTTTTTTCTCAAGTTCTCAAGCCTAAGGAATTGGATGTGGGAATAAATATTACAAAACTAAATAAGGCTCTTTAAAATATGTAGCAGATTTTTTTTATTCTTCTTTAGAAGTCCATTAATGTTGAAAAGAAATATGAAATAGCATTTAATTTCCAAATGTTGTAACCTACTAGCTCAAAGTCTCTCAATATAGTATAACTCAAATATTCTTACTGCATGTGCTAAATGACAGATAATACACCCTGTCTCTACTCATTGTGGAATGCAGTCAAGCCTGAAAACCCTACCCTCTTTCTTCTGTTCTCAAATACAGCAAGCTCCACCCCATTAAGATAATTTTTGTCCGCTCCCATTCACACAGCTGCAGGTAAAAGGATTAGACAGTCGCTGTCACTGAGAGGTGAAATGGCGCAGACAGGAGTTCAGCTGGACACAATTTCTTGTTCGATCTGTTTGGATCTACTGAAGGATCCAGTGACTATTCCCTGTGGACACAACTACTGCATGAACTGTATTAAAACCCACTGGGATGAAGAGGATGAGATGCAAATTCTCAGCTGCCCTCAGTGTAGGCAGTTCTTTATACCAAGGCCTGTCCTGGTGAAAAACACCATGCTAGCTGATTTGGTGGAGGAGCTGAAGAAGACTGGACTCCAAGCTGCTCCTGCTGATCACTGCTATGCTGGATCTGAAGATGTGTCCTGTGATGTCTGCACTGGGAGAAAACTGAAAGCCTTCAAGTCCTGTCTGGTCTGTCTGATCTCATTCTGTGAGAAACACTTCCAGCCTCACTTTGAATCACCTGCCTATGAAAAACACAAGCTGGTGGACCCCTCCAAGAAGCTCCAGGAGAACATCTGCTCTCGTCATGATGAGGTGATGAAGATGTTCTGCTGTACTGATCAGCAGTGTATCTGTTATCTCTGCTCTGTGGATGAACATAAAGGCCACGACACAGTCTCAGCTGCAGCAGAAAGGACTGAGAGGCAGAGAGAGCTCGAGGTGAGTCGACAAAACATCCAGGAGAGAATCCAGGACAGAGAGAAAGATGTGAAGGAGCTTCAACAGCAGGTGGAGGCTATCAATCGCTCTGCTGATAAAGCAGTGGAGGACAGTGAGAAGATCTTCACTCAGCTGATCCTTCTCATCCAGAAAAGAAGCTCTGATGTGAAGCAGCAGGTCAGATCCCAGCAGGAAACTGAAGTGAGTCGAGTCAAAGAGCTTCAGGAGAAGCTGGAGCAGGAGATCACTGAGCTGAAGAGGAAAGACGCTGAGATGAAGAAGCTGTCACACACAGAGGACCACACCCAGTTTCTACACAACTACCCCTCACTGTCAGCACTCAGTGAATCTACATCCAGCATCAATATCCGTCCTCTGAGGTACTTCAAGGATGTGACAGCGGCTGTTTCAGAGCTCAGAGATAAACTACAGGACTTTCTGAGAGAGAAATGGACAAACGTCTCACTGACAGTGACTGAAGAGGATGTTTTACTGCCACAACCAGAGCCCAAGACCAGAGCTGATTTCTTGAAATATTCCCATCAAATCACACTGGATCAAAACACAACAAACACATATCTGTTACTATCTGAGGAGAACCGAAAATCTACATCTATGAGTCAACAACAGTCTTATTCTAGTCACCCAGACAGGTTCACATGTTGGCAGGTCCTGAGTAGAGAGAGTCTGACTGGACGTTGTTACTGGGAGGTGGAGTGGAGAGGGAGAGGAGTTCATCTTGCAATTGCATACAAGAATATCAACAGAGTAGGGAGATCAAACAAATGTAGATTTGGATTCAATGACAAATCTTGGGCTTTAAGATGTGAAAAAAACAGTTATACGTTTTGGTACAACAGAATCCAAACTCCAGTCTCAGGTCCTCCGTCCTCCAGAGTTGGAGTGTATCTGGATCACAGTGCAGGTATTCTGTCCTTCTACAGCGTCTCTGAAACCATGACTCTCCTCCACAGAGTCCAGACCACATTCATTCAGCCTCTCTATGCTGGACTTTGGTTTCACTATGGGTTTGGAGACACTGCTGAGTTCTGTAAACTTAAATAGACAGAAGTCATTTAAGGGACAGCAGGTTAAATTTTAATTCTTAAACTCACATCTTAACATCAACTAATGAAAAATATGCAGCCAGTATCAGGTCAAGGTATATGAAATGAAAGTATTAATCTTTGCATTTGGTTACAAGTAATTGTTTTATAACAATTCCAGAAGTCAGATCTCACATTCCCAAAAACTATTTACAACCTTTGAGCTGATGTGAATAACATTTGTAAAGTGGAGACTCTTCTCTACCATCTTTCCCATAGGACTTGAATGCAGCATCAGTGTTACGGGTTGTGACTCTTGTGAACAAACTGACATAGTGTGATATTCAATTTAAAGCTCTCTTTACTGATGTTGTCTGGAGCTGCCAAAGGTTCAGGGAAGTTTTTATGTGCCCAGTGAAAATCACAGCAGGTTAACAACTGAAATGTGAAAACCGATGCACAACACAAGAGGGCGCCGTCATCCTGCTAACCAGGGATGTAGTGGAGGTTAAAGCACCTGACTCATCACTCAACAAGTAACATCACTGCAAGAAGGTCCTGGGTTCAAATCCTGGCTGTGGCAGATCCTTTCTGTGCGGAGTTGGTCTGGGTCAAGACAAGTGATCCCTTTAGGTGAAGAAAGAAGAAATTAGTGATTTTGTCATGTTTGGTTAAAGGGTGGACTCAAATGCAAGACACTGAGGAATGATGAGGTTAAGAAGGTTTTATGCAAAAACTTGAGGGGATGTTGATGATGTTGTTGTAGTAAACACAGGAAAGATGGTTGACTGCAGACTGGTGAGAAGAAACCTACAGAGGTGTTTAACACTGTTCTTGTTAATTTTCTACTAATTTTAATTTGTTCTACGGCTACAGATTAACTACAGTGTGTTTGTGTTGTCAGAAGGTGGTACTCATATGGCTTTTGTGTAAAGAATTGTGTCAACACCGACACCCTAACTTAAATCCTTTACTCATATGATGAGAACTGTACACTAAAGTGTGAATCCTGCTTGTTACAAACAAAAAAGACACAATGATCAATGATACAAATATTAAAGTTTCAGATTCACCAGTGGAGAGGAGTGGTCTCTGCACCTCTTCTGTATCATTGTGCAGATGTTAAAATAATGCCCATGTCTGTTAAACCTGAAGTGAAATAAGATGTTTGTCATTTGAAAACTGCATATTATGTTCTCAGAATTTCATAACCACTATATTAAGTATACAATATTAAACTACTGGAAGATCATATTTACCCATAACTTTATGGCTCCACCTCATGGGACAACAGAACTATTACAATCAATAGGAAAACCTTATTTAAAGGTCCAGTATGGAACATTTAGGAGGATCTATTGGCATGGAATGGAATATAATATTCATATATATGTATGTGTCTTTAGTGTATAATTCTTTGAATATAAGTATCACTGCATATTTGTTACCTTATAATGAGCTATTTTCATCTAAAGAAGGAGTGGGTTATCTACAGTGTTTTGTGGCCACTGTAGTTTCTCCTACACGCTTGAAAGGCTGAGCTGTATTCAGATGATTGCAGTGTGCAACTTCACCACTAGATGCCACTAAATCCCACACACTGGTCCTGTAAATTACTTATATTATGTATTGATTATATAATATTTTATCATATTATTAGAGTTTACTTTTACAGCAGTGACTAATTTATCTATATGTCATGTACTGTATTTGAATTACTGTGATCAATAAAAAACTGAATCAAAACTATATTTTAGGAGCTAATGTTGAACACTGGGGAGCCATCCAAACCCCCCTGATTTTATGACTTTACCACATTAAGGCTAAAGTAACCAGTGCTTTAAAATGAGCATCTCTCTCAAACCACTCCTCTTCTTGGAATTAATCAAAGCCTAATAGCCCCTCCCTCTTCTTCCTCTTCTCAAATACAGCACCACTCTGTCTGTATATTTCTTTGTTCCCTCCCCTTTACATCTACAGTTTGAAGTTGGGTGTAACCAATATGTGGTAAAGTGCAGGAACTGACAAACAGACCCCATTCACTGAGAAAACATATGTTGTTCAGATCAGAGCTCAAACTAGTTTCATTTATAAGGAAGTGAAACTCAGACCGTCGACAGAGAGGTGAAATGGCAAAAGAAGAAGTTCTGGACAAGGAAATTATTTCTTGTTCGATCTGTCTGGATCTACTGAAGGATCCAGTGACTATTCCCTGTGGACACAGCTACTGAACTGTATTATAACCCACTGGGATGAAGAGGATGAAAAGAAAATCATCCTCTGCACTGGGAGAAAACTGAACAGCCTCGTTATGATGTTGCTCAGTTAAAGAAACACAAGCTGGTGGACAAAACATCCATCAGAGAATCCAGGACAGAGAGAAAGATGTGAAGGAGCTTCAACAGGAGGTGGAGGCTATCAATCGCTCTGCTGATAAAGCAGTGGAGGACAGTGAGAAGATCTTCACTCAGCTGATCCGTCTCATCCAGAAAAGAAGCTCTGATGTGAAGCAGCAGGTCAGATCCCAGCAGGAAACTGAAGTGAGTCGAGTCAAAGAGCTTCAGGAGAAGCTGGAGCAGGAGATCACTGAGCTGAAGAGGAAAGACGCTGAGATGAAGAAGCTGTTACACACAGAGGACCACAACCAGTTTCTACACAACTACCCCTCACTGTCAGCACTCAGTGAATCTACATCCAGCATCAATATCCGTCCTCTGAGGTACTTTGAGGATGTGACACTACAGGACGTTCTGAGGGAGAAATGGACAAACGTCTCACTGAATTTAACCCACTGTCCCTAAAATGACTTCTGTGTTTTAATTCTTAAACTTATTTTGTCCTGAGGTTTGTTGCTGACAGATGATTGTTTGGGCATTACTTCACTGCACAGAAAACTCCCAAAATTCTATATTTATTTATATATGAAAATGTGATCGTTTAGAAGTAGTTTCACAAGAACACTGACCACCTGAATCCACATTAAAAGTCATTACTTCGAGATATGCTGCACATACACTTTATACACTGATATTGTAGCTTTATAATAATCTTTAAAAAAACATGTAATACTATCAAAATACTAATTTTTCAATTTTTTTGTTTTAATGCAATCGTGTCTATAAATATGAACTATTGCGAAGAGAAGCGCGGACTGGGAGGACTCCTTTTCCCACCATATTCGCTCTGGTTCGTGAACCGGTTTCTTTCAGGATTCAGTCACAGTGAACATTAAATAATCTTCTCATTAGGAATCAACCTGCCTCCTGTGTGAACCGTCTGCTGCTGTATTTTGAAGAGCCTAATATTTTCTGAGATCTGAGACCTTGACAAACACGTTTTATGGTCATAACACAACAACTGATGCGGTAATTATGACACAATTTCACACAACCCAAAAGGTTAAAGGTCAACATCATTGTGACATCTTATTGTCCTGGAAAATCCCTTTTATTCACACACCATACCTCAGGGAGAGAAGGGACTATATTTTGACCAGAAGAATAATGACTTGATGATTATTCTAATTTGATACACAGAATATTCTGTTTGTATGACTAATTTTACTTGCTGTGACAGTATCATGCTGTTTAGCTAACTATATATTAAATGTTTAAAGAACAGTGTACACGCAGCCCTGTCCGACTGGGAAATGAAGCCGTTATATATCCATCTATTCTCTCTTGAAAGCCACCAGACTCTTCTGATGAAAACAGTCATTTTACCTTGCAGAACATTGGAGTTAGTGGTTAGTTTGTTTTGTGTTACTGTGTGACTTTGGTCACAATTGACTTGCAAAGTACTTATAACAGTTCACATAATGAATGAAGTGAATAAAGAATGAAGTATTTCCTTCATTCCAGGGTATCGTACAAAGCTGTTGGAGAAAATGTCAAACTGATATGAAAGTAAAACTGAGGCAGTTTATTATTGTTTTTTTTAGTTTATATTATTATTTAGGATCTAAACTGAACACAAGCTTTATTCACAGAGTTTTCACTCACTGATAAACAGCCTCATCCTGCAAACGACCAAAGAGAACCAACCAAAACAAAATTAAAAATATATTATTATTAAAGACAAAAATTCCATTGAACTTTCAGTAAGACTTATCTCTGATCAATATTGACAGAAAATAATCTGCATAGAATTCATCCAAATATCTGTGTTACACAAACTTTCTGCAGTTATTCACTATTTGGGATCATGATACAGTTTGTTGTTGTGTAATATTATTGTCATACGTTTAGTGGTCGACCGATATGGGATCTTCAGTGGCTGATGCTGATGCCGATATTTAGAGAGCTGGGTTAATGATGGCTGATACATAATGCTGATATCAAAACCAAGAAAATTAATGTGCAATTCTTTTCTGTTCTATAGAAAATTCAGGCTTTAAATCTTTTTCTCCACCTTCCCAAATTCACAAGAGCACTGACATCATCAGTCACCTGCAAATGTGTGTGAATATACGTTTTATTTATCAGCCTCATGAGCACAGACATCGGCCGAATATAATATAATAATATTAGATAAGATAGACTTTATTGATCCCACACTGGGGAAATTCACTTATTACAGCAGCTCCAGATAAGAAAATGAATGTACATTATATACAGTATTTTTATACAGATGTGATTTAAGTTAAAAACTTAAGTTAAAAATATTGCACATGTGCTGCACCCTCAGTGCAAGAAGGAGCACTACCGCAGGTCCTCCATCCCAGCAGCTATCAGACTCAGCAACAATACCATAGTCACTTTCTTTTGTTTGCACTACCTGTAAAGTCCTCACATACAACACTTCGTACATGCACTTTAGTCTTAGACCTGCTCAAACCTCTGTGAAATCAATTCTGTATAATATATTTTTTGTCTGGTGTAATTATTTATTTATTATTTATTTCTACAGTATGCCACTACCTCCTTCTGTAACCTGTGCAATATTATAATTTAACTTTAAATCACATCTGTATAATCATACTGTATATATCGTAATATTACCACTTTATCCTCGTAATGTTACGACTTTATTCTCGCAATGTTACGACTTTATTCACGCAATATTACGACTTCATTCTCATAATATTACGACTTTATTCTCAAAATATTACGACTTTATCCTCGTAATGTTACGACTTTATTCTCGCAATGTTACGACTTTATTCACGCAATATTACGACTTTATTCTCATAATATTACGACTTTATTCTCAAAATATTACAACTTTTTTCTCATAATATTACGACTTTATTCTCAAAATATTACGACTTTTTACAACTTTTTTCTCCATCAGCTTATCAATATTACGACTTTATTCTCGCAATATTACGACTTTATTCTCGCAATATTGTGACTTTATTCACGTAATATTACGACTTTATTCACGTACTATTACGACTTTATACTCGCAATATTACGACTTTATTCAAGTAATATTATGACTTTATACTCGCAATATTGTGACTTTATTCATGGAATATTATGACTTTATTCTCGCAATATTGCGACTTTATTCACGTAAAATAACGACTTTATTCTCGCAATATTACAACCTTTTTCTTGTAATATTATGATTTTTTCTCATAATATTATGACTTTATTCACGTAATATTACGACTTTATTCTCGTAATATAACGACTTTATTCTCGCAATGTTACGACTTTATTCTCGCAATATTGCGACTTTATTCACGTAATATTACGACTTTATTCTCATAATATTATGACTTTATTCTCGCAATATTATGACTTTATTCTCATAATATTACGACTTTATACTCGCAATATAACTACTTTATTCACATAAAATTATGACTTTATTCTCATAATTTTACGACTTTATTCTCGCAACATTGTGTCTTTATTCACGTAATATTGCGACTTTATACTTGCAATATTGCGACTTTATTCTCCCAATGTTACGACTTTATTCTCGTAGTGTTACGACTTTATTCTCCTAATATTAGACTTTATTCACGCAATATTACGACTTTATTCTCCTAATATTAGACTTTATTCTCGCAATATTATGACTTTATTCTCCTAATATTACGACTTTATTCTTGTAATATTATGATTTTTTTCTTGTGACATTATGACTTTTTTCTCATTACAATATGACTTTATTCTCGCAATATTGCGACTTTATTCTAGCAATATTACGACCTTTTTCTTGTAATATTATGATTTTTTTCTCATAATATTATGACTTTATTCACGTAAAATTACGACTTTTTTCTTGTAATATTATGACTTTTTTCTCCTAATATTACGACTTTATTCTTGTAATATTATGATTTTTTTCTTGTGACATTATGACTTTTTTCTCATTACAATATGACTTTATTCTCGCAATATTATGACTTTATTCACGTAAAATTATGACTTTATTCTCGCAATATTACGACCTTTTTCTTGTAATATTATGATTTTTTTCTCATAATATTACGACTTTATTCTCCTAATATTAGACTTTATTCTCATAATATTACGACATTATTCTCGTAATGTTATGATAATGATTCCAAAGAAATAAAAACAAATGTCTCTTGTATCAGGTGAATAGTGTGGAGAAGGTGTGCGGACTGGCCCTTTAAGCAGCCCGGGGTTTGGGTGCAGTAAGTCGGACTCCACCACTAGAGTTCTCCCTCCGGTTCTCCGGCGGCGGCGCTGTCTGTGTTTACCTCCCAGCCCAGCGCTGCTGTACGGGGGCCAGCTGGACACCAACCACCATCCCAACAGCCTCAACCAGCCCGAACAAACAACTAATGTAAGCGGCCTCCGCCTTCAATCCTTCGCGGATTCCCTTTGCAGCGCCGTGCGTTAGTGACACCGTGAACAAAAAGGTGAGTTTATATAAATTTATATTTTTATTCTGAACGGAAAACGGACTCAATGACAACACTGCGGCTAACAGGCGCTAGCCCCGTTAGCTTAGCCGTAGCTAGTCCCGTGATGGAGGACCGTGAACATGGCGCCCTCCAAAACAAACGAGCAGGTAGGCTAGTTAGCAGACAGTGGTTGTGTGGTGGTAGAGGTTCCCCTGTGTGCTGTAAACGCCGCCGGTTCGTCGCTTCGGTTGTGAACCCGGTCCCGGTTCGGTGACAAGCGGGCTATCTGGGTTTACTAACCGAGCAGCTGCGGTTAGCATACGTAGCTGGAGGAGCTAACACAGAGGAAGCCTCCACGGGGCTGGGGCTTCTGTAACACGAGCACTGTGACTGTACCCGGGGTTTAAAGTTATTTAGAGAAAGTTTAAAAATAAAAAAACAGGTTATTTTGTTTTTATTAGCATCAGGAGGAGGGGGGGGACGCTAGCTCTCCTGCTAGCAGCTACCCTCCGCCTCCTGGCAGTGCCCGTGGCCTTCCACTGTTTCCTCTTTGTTGTGAGATGTACGGGTGCTGTTAAGTGTAACATTTAATGAGCAGGTGTGTTATTGAGCTGTTTTAATTACTCCGGAACTCCTTCCTCGCTCCTCTCTCCTCATGTCGGAGTCAATGTGGTCGCTGTTAGCCGGCTAACGGTGAATGGACAGACGCTATCTTTCTGACAACCTCCTCCTCCTCTTCCTCCTCTTCCTCCTCCTGCATCCCTCCAAAACCCCGTGCGGCTGTAATAGTTGATTTTATTACTATAATAACCAACAGGGGTGAGTGTGGGGTGGCTGTGCGTTGGTAGGGGCTGTCAGGGCTTCAGCAGAGGGAACAACAGCCCTGTGTAGTCTCTTTGTTTACCTCCGACCCGGATCAACCTGTCAGCTTAATTGGCCTCTAGTGTCGCGCACCTTGGTTAATTGATTGGGGAGCAGGGGGAGCGGGGGGGCAGATGTGGTTGTTTGTTGGGCACATGCCAGCACAGCCACATGCATCTGGAAGGAAGAGGGGGAGAGCCGGAGTGGCCATGCTTTCTGCCCCTGGCATCGTGGTACAGGTGGCCCGCCTTCACACCTTACTGCACCTTACACTGAATAACAGGGAGGAGGAGGAGGAGGAGGAGGGGGGGGGCTCAGGTTACTCACTGTCACCTCACTGCTCCCTGTTCCCCCCCTCTCTCTTTCTCCTTCAGCTTTCGTTGTGATGCTGTAAAATGTCTGTGCAGCTACCTGGTTTTCATTTATTAGGTTGGTTTCCCGCCTTAAAGTGGCTCTCTTCACCGGTTTTAAGCCAAGATGGATGAAACATGCTCTCTCTCTCTCTCTCTCTCTCTCTCTCTGTGTGTGTGTGTGTGTGTGTGTGTGTGTGTGTGTGTGTGCACCCTGGTTTAAAGCTGCATTAGGTAACTTAATGATATTCCTAATGACATTTGCAAGAATCCACCTGAATGAAAAACAACCAATCAGAGATAAAGATATAAAGAGACTCTGATTGTTGAGGCTCTTTCCCAGAGTCCCTGCTATCTTTCATAGTGAATAGACTTTCATTTATAGTTTTATATCTTCTGTTATATTTTCTAATATTTTTTATTTGTGACATTCTTTGTTCTCTGTTTTTGCTTTACTTTGCACTATTGCTGCTGTGTCAACCTGAATTTCTCCGAAGGGGGATCAATAAAGGAATATCTCACCTTTCTTGGTTCGGATTTGTTGTTTTCATTCGGGCCCGGTTGATTCTTGTAAATGTCATTAGGAGAACTTAGGAGGAGCCTGATTGGTTGCTTTCAATGTGGCTTTATACATAAATAATAATGAGTATATAAGTATTTTCTTATTTATAGTAAAGCTGCAACAATTAGTCTATTAATGTATTGTCTATTAAATGAATAGCCAAATATTTTGATAATAGATTTCTGGTTTCTTTAGTTCACAGTAAACTGAATATCTTTAGACCTTTGAGGGCCTCTGTAGTGCTTATTGTTATTTACTTTTCTGTACAGTTTCTCTTTGATCTGTCTCATCTTATAAATTTGTGAAATTATAAAAAAGCTTTTGTTTTTAAATCAATAACAAATCTAACATAGGTGAGCCTGACTTGCTGCCTTACTGCATCAGGCTGATGTTTGTGTGCTCAGATTTAGTCTCTATCAGTCTGAAACAGAGCAGAAATATAAAATACTGTGCTTAAGGCGATGATTATATCACACACTGTCTCAATCCTGTTCACGAACCAAAATACGAACCACTACATTTTCCCGTTGGCTGCGACTGACCGTATGTTATGTGTTGGTTTTTAGACTCGTTTGTATTTATTTTTGGCTGATTTGCTCTTTTTTTCTTAATTTTTTCACACTGTACCAACACTTTCATACCATCCTGATTAAAAATGTGAAGATTGAACATCCTCTGTATGTATCTGTCACAGCCTCCTGTATCACAAAGTGCACTAAAGCACCAGGATCTTCCTCCGGGTCGCTCTGAGCTTTATTACGGTTAGCTTTTGGCTGCGATTTATGAAAGTGACATCTTAAGTTTCACGGATGGTTAAGAGGAGAACCGCATAAAATTGGATTTGAGTTTAAAGATATTCAGGGACGGCCAGGGCCTGTGCACCGCAGTAAAGAGGCAAACCAGTATTATTCAAACCCCTCTGAACGTCTCTAGTTCTCCTTGTCAAATCCTCCTCTGATATTTTCTGACGTTTGTTTTGATGAGGTATTAAGAATGTCGTCCTAATGATGCACAGATATTTAGTCGCTGCTTTTCAGGAGGAATAAGGCGTATATATGTGATTTTAAAACGGAAACATGTGGTGGAAACTTCAGTTATAAGTCTTAAAGTATGTATGTATCTTTAGTGGGTTTAATAACAAATACCTAGCATGTGAAGAGCAATGTTCAAGGTCACATTAAACGTATTGGACTTGGCATCAGATCTACCACACAACAATTATAAAGTCAAAGGATGTGTTGTTATACAGATATACATACTCTTAACCACCCAGATTCCCCGTTTCCATATTTTTCACTCATATCTGAAAGATACTGAGAAATAATATATAAAAATTTAGTTTGGCTTCTAATTTCAAGCAGCACGTTGGGCAGAGCGTTCATTGTTACTTTGATTCAGATGAGTTGAGGATGATTCGTAGAGGATCTGGCTCTAGAGTCGAGGTAATGACTTATTAAATATGGTCTAAAAATGTCGGATCAAAAGGATTCATTTTTAGAAAGCATGACATGACAGACGCACAAATCATCTGGGTGTTTTGTCTCCGAGCTCAATGAGGATGATTGTGGAAGGAGTCCGGACAGATAGACAGACAGGAGCGGCGTCAGATAGTCCTAAAGTGGCTGAACCGCCCACCCGATCACATTCAATGGTCAGTAATGTCTCTTTTTGTTCACTCGTCGTCCCAGCTGACCGCCGTGTGCTCTCGTCCCGCACACTTCAGTTGGAAGGAAAACAGTGGCTCTTTATCTAACAGGCACAACCTGAACGTGTGTTTCCCAGCTGTCTCAAGTAGAAGTAGATTTTGGTAGAGGGAGCTGCAATTCAAAATGCTCTCATGACCATAAATGGCTTTATTTATGGCACATTCAGGAGGTATATTAGTGTATAATCTCCTGAAAATAAGAACTGTTGTTGCCTATAGAGTAAGTTGTTTTTATCTACAGAGGGAGCGGGGCTGGAGGCATGTTGAACCGCCGTGTTTTTCACTTGTTCTTCGGCCACTATACTTTCTCCTACACGCCTGGAAGGCCGAGCTGTGTTCAGATAGTTGCAATCTGCAGGCTTGTATTGTGATATTTATCATATTGTCAGATTGTTGCCAGTACTCAGCCCCATTGACTGCCAGATGCCACACAGGCCCTTTAAGTGACTACAACACAATCATCTTCATCATATTTCCCTGTAAAAATATTTTAGGCTGACAAATATTTAGTCAGTTCTAACGCCATGTCTTTGGTATATTGGTATGATGAGCTTGGAAACACTTAAATATTACTCTTAATCATACTTATGTGATGATATTGTGACATTTTGGAGCATTTGAGCTTTTTAGATTAATAACAAGCAGAAGCAGAAGTCTGACTATAAAGGCAAGTTTATAGAAAACACAATATTATACAACTGTTGTTTGTAATGTCACATTAAGAGCATTCAGCACTACATGAAGCACAGGTTTGATTCTTTAATGCGATTAGGGAGCATTACTTATTGGTGTAATGGACTTATATGATATAAGAATATTATTCATATTACTAGTGCCACTGGTACTATTATATTAAGGCTATTACCACAGCTGTTATCAATGCTATAAACACTGGTATTGATTAATTGGTAGTAAGGCTGCAGTGTATATACGTTTCATTCGCAGAAAACAAAAACCAAAAACATCAGCTGATTTTTATATTTTCTTTGTCTCCCACAGTTGTGATGAATAAGGAAATCATGTCACGTGTGGTGAAGAAGAGGCAGGCGGACCCCAAAGTGGTCCAGTATGTGTGGGCGGCCATCGAGGTCATCCGCAACCAGAAACAAATTGCAAACATGGACAGGATCTCCAAGTAAGTTCACCACAGATGTGACGATGTACTTCTTCATGTCTGTGCGTGTCTTTCACACCACGCTGTCGAAAGGATGCTTTAAAAGGGCTGTCATAGTTTCCACTCGCCACAAAGTTGTGTCTTTATCTGCCCGTTGAGTTTCATTTAACCTGCACAGTACATGAGACATAGACCTGGCTGTAAACTGTTTTTACATTGACAGTAAACACAGAGAAGAGGGGTGTCTTGGCCCACGAGGATGTACATTTTTGAGAACTAGAGGTGAAAATACAATGTCCTTCTGCAAGGGATTTTATCTGGAAGCGAATCTTCTCAACCAGAAACCTGTTTTTGAGCCTCCATCGTGGCCGGTTTTATCTTTTGGTCTTCCTACGTGTCCTCAAGCACGGTAGTCCCTAAAAGCTCCCTGTTCAAAGGGCTTCTGGTGATTCAGAACAACATGGCGGTGACCTGAGGGGAGAAAACAGCTTCACACACGGATGTGTAATTACTCAAACCAACTGTAGTGAAAAAACACTGTCACAGATATTCAATTTACAATAATATAGAGGAGAGAAATGAGTAAAAACTCACATTTAAGAAGCTGCAAATAACTTAAAATGATAAACTGATTGTTAAAGTTGTTGCAGATTTTTATTTTTTTTTATCTTGAAAAGTGTGTTTGTTCGGGGTGAACAGGCACAGAGGTAAAATGATCACACATAATGACCTGTGTTCAATCACTAGTTGTGCTACCTTTGGCTGGTTTGTCTGCTCTGGTGGTTTGTGTATATATATATCTATATATATATAGAGATATATATATACATATATATATATATATATAGAGCCAATTGAATGAAGGTGGTGAGCTGGTGTTCATCTTTGTTTTGAATGTAGGATGCATTTTAATTCTTCCTATCATAAAAAGCTCATTATTGGTTTCCTGCAGCTGCAACTGTGATTATTTTTTCATTTAATCAAGTGTCGGATTGCATTAAGTGTTAAGTAAAATGATGCTCGACGTCTTTAGAAACCAGAGAATGTTTGGTATTTGATTTGATTCGATTTGGTATATTGATTTTCTGTTAAACGACTAATCTAATAGTTTGGCGGTGTTGTTACAGCGGGCGTTGGCTCCTCGCTGCCGTACCAATGATCAACAGTCAGATTGAGACCTGACCGGGCCTAGATACAGAGTCTGCAGCCGTTTGGGTTCATGATGCTTTAACCGTCATTATTTTATCCATGGAGGGAATCTCACGTTTGTTCAAACTATGCAAATTGATGACGAATCGTCCTCCTCCATCGACCTCGCCGATCACTCGTTCCTTTCAGTTGGCGGACGGAGCGGAGAGACTAAATGAAACACTTAGCACGTCTCATACGGCAAGTTGGCGAGCACCTTGGAGCTGGCCGCTTGCCAAATGAATACTGGCGGCAAGCGGCTGTTGTCATGGCAACACTAAGCAGCGGCACACACACACACACACACACACACACACATATATCTCCACCCTATCCAGTCCCACTGTAGCTTAATTTCACCAAGCTTTCTTTGTGGCTAAGAGGGTGATGACTTTGGTTTTATGGGAATGGAGGAGGCTAAAGTCAGCGAGGCAGGGGTGAATAATTAACTGCCCTCGCTCACATAGCTGCAAATGTACAGGAGGGTGACAGGCACAGCAGTCCGGCTGCTTCAGATCAATTAGTTCATCATTAACCGAGCAAATTGCTAATTTACTAAATCTGCTGTATCTTTAACTGACTGTAACGTTGGTGACATTTTATATTCAGAATGAGTTAGGAACAAATAGACCAACCAAAGATACAGGTAACGCCATCATCACAACATACCACAGAACAACCACAATATATAATACAATAATATCCGTAAAGATTAACCACAAGGAGACAAAACAAAAAGCACAAAACACACGTTCATCTTGCTTCTCAACTTCAAAAGTACGTTTGTTTGTAACTTAATTTTTATGCATATAAATGAAAGGAGTACACGGTAATTATTTGGTAGTTAACGCCAACATATGTTGCCCAGTAACTCGACACACAGCAGCAACGTTGAAGTGATTTAGAGCTGAAAGATTTTGTGAATTGGACTTTTTATTACCCTCAGATTGCATCAGATCGTTCTCACATATGAGCAGTTGCTGGTTTTCTCTGTCATATGTAAGCGTTAACAAAAGATCTTTGAGTTTTTAACTATTTGTCTGATATAACAGGCCCTATGAACATAACTCTGATGGGTATTCTTTATTATTGTCTCACATTTTGATCAATGAAAATAACCTTCTATTGTTTATCCGTGGAGCCTCGTGTGGGTTCCCCCCGTTAGCCCGACTGTAGGATCTTTGGTTTGAGTAATCCTGTCTGACTCATGTTCACCTCACAGACATACTACAGGCCTCTCCATTGTAACCCACAAGTAAATACAGACTCTCACCTGATTCCTCACTGACTGATTCTGTTCGCTGGCTGTCTGCCACAGTGGAGGATACATGACCTTGCTCAGAGAGGTTCACTGCCAGGCAGCAGGCAGCTGCACCAATAAAGTGGGCCATTATTTGAATCACATGCTCCCAAACTGGGAAAGTGTAGGAGCATTAGAGGTGGAAATAGATGAGAAACACTGCCTCTGCTTGTAATTTCGACCCACATGTATCTCTAATCTGTTTCTTGGTAGTATAAATATAATTTATGGAGCATCTGAGAGGCAAGTAATTTTAAGAGCATAGCATAAAATGCACGATGATGACAGTGTTGGGTCACCATCTACAGGAGGTTGAGATTTAAAATGTTCATGTTGGTCTAGCATGGAAAGATGGCTACCATTAGCACCAACTGCCGTTGCACATTGCTTAATTACTCCTCTACCTCTACCCCGCCCAGGTACCTGAGCCGTGTGTTTGGCATGCACCCTAAGGAGACTGCCAGACAGCTGAGCTTGGCCGTGAAGGACGGCCTGGTGGTGGAGACCCTGACCGTTGGCTGCAAGGGCTCCAAAGCCGGCATCGAGCAGGAAGGATACTGGTTACCCGGGGATGAGATGGTAAGTCTAACCGGTTCCTCACACAGTGAACGGTTGAATCCTTTTTCTAGATTCTGTCTTATTATTCACCAAAAGTGAGCAGGTTCATCCTTTTTGTATGTCAGGTGTTTATCTGGCGTTTCTCTGTCGGTGCCTGTGTGTTCACACTGTGAGCAAATCACTGGAAGTTAAAAGTTCTCAAAGAGCTGAATGTTTATTTACAGCTTCTTGGTTTCAGTTCCCTCCTGATGGGATTTAGTTTCATGATGTAGTTTTAAAACATTTATTAAAAAAAGATTTACAGCTGCAACTAATGATTATTTTAATTCTGCTGATTATTGTTGTGGTTGATAGATTATTAATTTGGTTTAAAATGAAACAAAAAACATCAGAAAACTGTTTCCTAGAGCCCAATGTAATTCCACTAAATGTCCAAAACCCAAAGATATTCAATTTAACGGTAATGTAAGACAAGGAGAAGCAGACAGACATTTGACGAGCTGGAACCAGACAAAGACTACTCAAATGATTCATCAGGTTCTTCAAATAGTTGCAGATTAATTTTCTATTGATAAACTAATCAACTAATTGTTCCAGCTCTATAAAGGTTACAATAATAAACAAAATCTCAAAAGCACTTGAAAAATGGCTGTTGTAACTTTTAAATTTTATTAATAAGAGTTATTTTGTGTTTGGTTTAGTTGCTTCAGTTTATAACGGAGATATGTGACACATCTGATGTGTGTGTGGGCGTCCTCCCCCTTTTGGGAACTTGAAACATTTTGCATTGACAAACTTACCACAGGGGCCATGATTGAGACCACCGCGTCCTACATCCTGTAGCATCAGGACGTAGCCACCCATCTGTCGGGTTGCTCACAGTGTGAACACAGTGTTAACAGTCACAGCACGCAGACATTACACGGAGCAAACATTACTGTTGATCAGCGATGATGAAGAAGGATAAAGTTAAGAAATAAGAGCAGATAAAGAGAGATATTTTGGCCAAATCAAGGACTTGAAAATGTGGAACCAGCCATTAAACAGCTGTATTACCTCTTGACTTGCTCAGGCAGCCGGTTGTGATATTAATATTTTTCTCTTGTCATTTGAAGTCCTTGTTTTCATTTCCTCTTATTTCCCTTGTTAGTTGTGAGGAACGGTGATGCTTTCACTCGTCTCTGTCACAGTAGCTCTGCACTCAGTGTGCCATTTCACAGCGTATCAGCACTACCTGGGGACAATCCTCATGTTTTTGTTTTTTTTTGCTATTTGTAATGCAAAGAGCACTTAATGGATTACTGTGCAAGTGGCATTAACATGTAATTGGTGGCTGCTTTAATCCCAGTGCTTTTTGCACCAGGGTGCTAACACCTGGGAAGTATCTGTTGTGCTTTACTCATTAAACTGCACGAGCACCATCTGTGCATTATCATGCAGGGAAAAGAGAAATAACTAATAATATGATAGGAAACTAAGCTTCTTCTCTCAGTTCTAACATGAACTAGTTTGTTTAAAACAGTGGTTTTAATTTGACATGCTCAGGTCTGTATTGACTCAAGGTAGATTTAGTAGATTCAGTCTTTGCATCTAAGGCTATTTGTTTTGATCGCAGGCCAGACAAGGAGCCAGGGGAATTGCGGAGCATGAGAGATTGGGGGATTTGAATAGTTGTGGGGTCTGTCTGTATTGTGTGGTGTCAGTAACAACATATTTCCATGATCTGCTGTTAAAATCTGGTCTCTCAAGACACAACACTGTTGTCCAGCGGAGCTCAGGTCGTTTTTTATTAGCAGCAGGACTTTTAAACACTTACTCTCTGAATCACTTGCAATCACAGGAGCCGAAAGCCGAGGGGAGCAAGGTAAGGGCTGCATTGTTATTCTCAAACTCAGGGTTTGTTCTCCATTTGATCACTTCATCCCCCCCCCTCTCTTAACTAACATCATTCTGTGAGAAATCGGCTCTGCCACATGCAGTGCAGTCAGGGATTTGAGTGAATCTTTTTATGCAGGTTGCCAACAGCATACAGTACGTTCTGGTTAGTGCACAAGTTGTAGGCTCATCATATAGAAAGCCCTTCAGTGCCAGTGGCGAGAAATTCAGTCGTCTTGCACTTTGTAATGCTCGTGATTACCGCTCGCTGCAGCTTCAATGAAATTATCACACAAGGTGAAAGCTGAGAAACATTATCAGGTTTCCATTTGGACATCTGTCTGCATGCGGGCCTTCAGTACAGAATTAAACACACTGCCAGAAGCTACCTGCTGTCCTTCACTTATACTGTAAAAAAGCTTCATGAAAGTCCATTGCAGCGCTGTGTCTACGTGGCCAAATTTCTTGTGGAAGTGATTTGATGATGATGATGAAATATGTGCTCGCTACTCATCTACAGATGTGCCGTTGCTTGATTTCTTTATTCTTTTTTAATAAACACACAAACACTCACTTGGTCCGGCTCTAAGCTGCGTCCAGTGCTTGGCATTCAGACACTGCCGACTAGAGTCAAATATCAAGTGTAAAATTACAGCTTGAACAGTAATTGAATCACACTTTAAATGTGAGATCACAAGCAATGCTAGCATAGCCGCAGGTTGGTAGCAAGCATCTGTGCGTTTGTAGTATTTTTGGTCTTGGTAGTTGTAGTTCTCCTCAGAGGAGGTGTGTTCTGCTGTGTTCTTAACTTCTGTCTGGCATGCTTATTTTCCCTTTTCTCTTCATTTAATTGATGAAACACGGAGGAGGTGGGGAGAGGGAAGGAAGGGGTGGTTGTGGTTTGTGTGGTTGTGCGCTTTAGTTTTCTCAATGCCTGCTTCTAGTAACCCAGCCGGTTCTCTCAGGCTCGCAGTCACTCAGTGGACAGAGTTTAAATGTGAGAAACACTGTAAAGCAGTAGAGGTAGCCCCCCCCCCCTCCTCTGCAGGTGCCTGGATTCAATCCAGCTGGCATGTGCTGTGTCCTTGTGTTGACCGCAGGAATATTTACTCGAACAGATAACCGCACATTTTACACACTGATCATAACATTTGAAATAGCAACAGTCGAATTCTTGAAAAACAAGTTTTACATGCACTGCCTCGAGTCAGATTGGATTAAATCCAGGTTTCCCCCACAGTGATTTACCTTTTTAATCTGTGAACTCACACCCTGAATTTCATTAAAACAACAATTGGATGCTTTGGTGATAGTTTAAAGTGATTAGAATCAGCGCACTTGTGATGCATGTCAATAAATATGAGATGATGTGTTGATGCACTTTGACAGTAAGAACTTAAACACTGTAAAATTACTTCATTTAATTTACTAACACATGATTCTGAAGAAGCTGAATGAACTTCCTTGTTCATCTTTACACCCTCCTCAGGGTTTTTGACACTTGTTTTTTTGAAGGTTGCTCTCAGATGAGTTTATCACAGTTGTGTAATAACACTGTTAGTATTGAGCGCAAGAACGCCTCCGCTAGCATCATAAACAGTTTATACACTCATGTAATAAAGCATTAACCCTTAAAGAAGAGGAGGAGAGGTGCTGTTTCACACAGTTAATGCTACATTCAATGTGGTTTATCATCTCAGTCAAACTATTTCCTGGGTTTCCTGAACAGAGAGAGAGAGTATACATTTATATTTCTTTTGTACTGTCACATATTTTACCATATCATATTGTCTTTTCCTTTAACATCATAGGCAGTGTTGGAAATCACTGAGCAGGACAGCTTAATGGTAATATTGGACTTTATATGAATTCTTTCATCAACGTGATTTAAGTGCTTTGTCCGGTATTTCTTTTGCTAAAAAAAAAAAAGCCAAAACAGACTTTCATGTTTGGTGACTTTATCCATTAGAAATACTGTTGTGTTCTGATATATATTGTTATTCATTTACAATGACCTGTACCGTGAGAGAGGATTTTATCCATGTTGCCCACCTGTACCTTTTTTAAGTGATATGTAGTAAAAAATAAATATAGGATTTCATTTTGAGTTTGATTATGCATGTGAGTAAATTGGTGGCTGTTGATGTGCCTCATTTGTGAAATCCACCAACCACTAACAGCCTAAATGTGCACCAGCCAAAATCCTGAAAAGAGTTTTAAAAATACAAACGTGTAGAAACCTTGGTACAACTTGTGAAGGTGCATTTTTAGACCGTCAAACTACAGATGAAGCTGGTTTACCTTTTAGAGAAGCAGGCGGTGGAGATGCATCCTGGGGTTGTTTTGTGCCGGTCATTAGAAGGCACGCTAACCCCGCTGCTCAGCCTCGCTCGGCTCTGTGGCGTGTCCCAGCTTGACGCTGACAGCGCAGAGCTGTTAACCAGAGTATGAACGCGGTGGGAAAGGTGGCTGAAGGCAACCCAACCCTCTGGCTGCCTCAACTCCTCCACCATTATCCCAGCCCCTGCCTTTGTCAGCAGCTGTTAGTCAAGGCCCATTTCTCCCTCTGCAAAGCACTGAGGTATTTCATGGATGTTTAGAGAAGTTTTTTTTTAGGTAAATTTGAGGGCTTAAATATTTTTGAACTTGGATTAAACACAGTTTTATTAGAATATATTAACTTTTTAATGAAACATTCTGATGTTTTGCTGTTATTTTAACGTTCAGTGGTACATTGTCGCTGTAATAATATCCGGTTTGTTTGGGCCCAATACTATCAGCACTCCTGACTTAACTCCCTTGCTGAGACACTCTGTCCTTGGCTCCAGCCGTTTGAAATCAGCCACTTGTCTTTCATCAGACAGTCCAACAATAGTGAAGTGCCCGTTGACATTCGACAGAACTCGAGGACCATTTCTGTGTTGTCAAGTGTTTGTGTGGGTGAAGAATCTCTCACGCTCTAAAAAGTAGAAGTCCTTTGAGGAAACTGTGGATGGATTTCATCCACGTGTGTGTATCCACACATGTAATTGCCGTTAATTGTGAACCCTGGAGAAATTTCCCCTCCTTCAGTTCTGTTCATTTGGGAATATGTGAATGGGGCGGTTGCCTCAACGTGTTCCTAGATGAACCCCTGGGAGAGAGAGTTTGCTATAAATATATGATCACGGCTGAGTATACTACTCACAAATCTGTGTATAAACCAAAGAATGACCTAAAATGTAACAATCCATAATCCTAAATGATTGTACTGCCTGAAGAAAATGTAGCCTACAAAGATTATACACCTACAATATATTGGCCAGGTTATCAGTCAGCAGGTGTATCTATATCAATATATAAATAGGAAGATGTGTCTAAGATAAGTTTTCTGTAATTTAGAAACGGTGTCTTCATTAAATAGTTTGCCCACTGGAGAGTGCTGAAACTTTAAATTTCACCGTTCGTTACATATCGCCATAATTTGTTAAGGATATAAATCACAGGAATTCTTATAAAAAATGTCGGCTATGTTCCTTATGTGCAGTGTACATACGAGAAAAAAAAACAGTCTCTGGATGTTTTTAAAAGATTTATTACAGACAGGACTTTTACAAAATGCGTTTTGAAAACATCCACAATGACCAAAAAGATAAGCTTCTCTATTAATACGTTACTTCAGGGCTGCAACTAATTATCATTTACCTGATCGACCATATCACGTATTCTTTTGGTAATTACTCTAGAGTATAAAACGCCTGGAAGTTGTAAAGACGAACGTCCCATCACGTTTCCCCTTCCTTGATCCTGGTGAGGTATCAAACAGTTGTAGCTGATCCTTTAAAAGAGCTCCCTGAGGAACCCCTGGATTTCAGAGTGTAGAGTGCTTCCTCCTGGCAGGTCCTGCTTCTGATCAGGGTCTTTGGTGTTTGCAGCCTCACTGGCAGCACGAATGTCAGAGCTGTCTTCACTCATTTGTCCTCATGACTATTTATGGTTGTGTTTGGACTCGTTTTACCCCGAGACTTCCGATGATGGCGCTCTAGTCCAGATCGGTTTGAATCTGCACGTGTGCTTTGAAACAGAAGAACATGCTGCAGCGTGAATTCTCGTGAAAGTCTTTGGTGTAAAAGACACATTCCCAATAAGATATTCTCCTCTGAGATCAATCTAGTCTGCTTCCTCCAGTCCAGTCCAACCCCAGCCCACATGAACACATGGAGAAAAAAATCAAGAAAGAGAGTGAAGTGCTTTTTATATATATTTTTTTAAGCTTTCATTGAGTGGCACTCAGTCACGACTCTCCTGCTCTCCCCTACTGAGTCGGTCCAGACTGTGAGTGGGAGGAGTTGGACTCTTGACAGGTTGAGGAGTAGTTGAATTTATAGCTGTTCATACTTCCGTCTCTGTGCCCTTCACTTGAACCCATGAATGAAAATTAGAGGACGACAGTAATGTGCGTATTAACACAGGTGTCTGCAGATTCTTAAACATAATCCAATTTTTAGACCTTAGAATGTCTTCAATATGATTTTAATTAAATAAATGAATGGATTAATTAAGTTAACGTTACTTGTGTGAAGCTAAATTTATCTTTCTCGCTTTTAAATGTGTTAATTGTGCAGAAACAACAACAAAAAAACAAAATCAACATATAACCAATACTGTAAGTATTTTTTTGCCAGTATGGAAGTGAAATGGGTCTTAAACTGCATTCATTACAGTGTTAAAAAGTCTTAAATGTAAGTAGTTGAAACCATGTATAAATAATGCACTGAATAAGTTGTCAAACTGGCCTCACTCTCATCCGTTCAGCACCTTCCAGACACGAATTCAAACGCTCCAAACATGAAGACATTTCCTGGAAATGATTCAATAGATCTTTTCTTTAAACAGATTAGTGTTTGGCAATAATTCAACCACACATATACTCATATATATATCAGGTCTTTTTCTTGCTGTTGACACCCAGCAGCTCCACTTGCTGAAAAGCTGCTCAACATTATTTTAAATGGAAGAGGAGTTTTATTATTCTCATCCATTTTTCTCTCTCAGTTCCTTTTAGCTGCTTCACAGTTTGAATTTGAGACCTTTCGGCTAAATGCTATGAACTCCACGCCGTCACCGCCTGCTGTCACTGAGAGCCGGTGTGACTTGTCTAAATTAACTTCACAAAAAATCCCTTCAGTTTCTTTATTCCTACTTCCCTGAATACCACTACTCTTCTGTATATTTCCATATTCACATTCAGGAAGATTTTAAATTTTTCCAAGGACTGTGTGAAAGTTTCTGTTCAATTTGCATTTAGAGAGCTTCTTGAGTTTAAATTAAATGGTGTATTATGAAGTTGCTGGTGAAAATACACAGGAATAAGAGTGTGCAGATATACCAGACGCTACCAGATCTGGAGCCATTGGGTGGACCAGCTGGAATTGTCTGTGCAGTACTAGGATTCGCTGGATTGGTACATTTTGGAACAACTCAAAAGTAGTGAAACATTTGTATACACCTGCAGCCACTTTAACAAGATACCAGCCAATGTTCTCTTGTATTCAGCGTTAACCTAACCTGAGGATGAAGAGAGTTGTTTCCTCCCCTGCCGTGCTTAGGCGGGTTGGAGGGGGGGGTCACCCAAACTTGTGCTCTGCCGTGTCTTCCCCTCCAGGAGTGGGAGACGGAGAGCCACGACTGGTACTGCTTCGAGTGTCACCTACCGGGCGACGTCCTCACGTGTGACAACTGCTTCCGGGTTTATCACCTCAAGTGTCTGTCGGAGGAGTTCAAGCCCAGAGACGGAGGATCCCACTGGCAGTGTGTCGTCTGCAGGGTAAGGCGGTCCAACTTGTTCAATCTTGATTATTTTTTGGGCCATTGGAGGATTAGGAAAAGGTTTTAGGGTTAATGTTAGGGAATGGGGATCAGGTTAGGAGTTTACATGTAGGTGTTCAGTATTGGTGTTTTAAACAAAAGCTGGACAATTTAAATGTATCATAAATTAATGTTTGAGAGTTGAAGCTGCCTAACAATCTTCTCTTTTGGATTTTGGATCCAAAATGTTCCTCTATTCTTTCTGTTCATCCTTCCACAGGGTCTTTAAAAAGTCTAAAATCCAATAATCCAATTGATTTTGACAGGTCTTAAGTTAACATTATCAGTTATCAGTCTTTCTTTTAAATGTGTTTTTGGGGGAAAATGTATATTGATTATGCTGCAACAACTACAAAACAAAACCAACATAGAACCAATACTGAATTTCCCTCATATCCTTCGTACCTTTTTGCCAGTATGGAAGTAAAATAGGTCCTAAACTGCATTATCATGGTCTTAAAATGTGAATTTAACCTGTTGAAACCTGTAAAACTGTGTCCTTCCACACTGCTATTACAGTGATACTTTCTCTGTCTGTACTGTACTCTTCATTATGATCATATTTAATAACATTCCTGTAACCTTTCTGTTAACCTCTTACCCCAGTGAGGGTGTTATTTTCATTACATTTAAGTAATGACTTTTCTTAGTGTCAGTATTTGTCATTGAAACCAACGTTGGTGTTAGCAGAAAGCTAATAACTACCTGTTGGTTTCACTGGAAGTTGAATGCCAACAGAGACACCTGCTTGTTTTTCACTCTTCAATAACTATTACTTATTTATACTTATTATTCTGTGTGTCTGAATATTCTTATTCCTCTTTTCACTTCCTGTCTCCGCTGCCAGGTTTCTTGCCTTTTGTATATTTCTGACATTGCATTTGTGCAAGTGTGTCTTTGTACTGGAGCGTGTGGATTACAGGGTCAGAACCCGCAATGGTTCTAAAACTTCCCCTTCTCTCTTTCCTCTTTCCCTCCACATCATCCCTCCTTCCTCCCTGCAGGGAAGTAAAAAGAAGAACCTGAACAAACAGGAGATGAGTAAATACCTGCGCTTCATCGTCCAGCGTATGAAGGAGAGGGTGAGAGCAACCTTTTATATTTATTTCTACCTCATGTATGACAGTTCCTTGTCTTATTGAATCCTCTGGCTCTTAAGTCTTGTCATATTTCTTAAGAGAGATGTGTTGAAAGCCGAAACCACCTCCATTCTCAGCAGATTTAGACTGTACTCTGCCACTGCGAGCTGCATGTTTGCTGCTTTCTGCGTGATTTTGCTTGGATTTTAAGGAAATTTGAATCATGTCAGATGAATTTTCACCATTGCATTAAAGCCAATGATTCCACGCAGTCATTACCAATAGCTGTATCACTTTTAGCCACGCTTTGGATGCCGTGCACTGGGCCTTATTGGTCAGAGTACTGTTCGGATTTTCGTTTGGATTTTCGTTTGGAAATGAGAAAACCAGAATCTGTAAGTTGTAACTGTTTCCCGACTACCATTCACAAATATGGGGAACAAAATGGGTCATTTTTTCGGTTTATTTTCTAAACAAAAAATGGAAAATAGTCCCCCCCCCCGTTTTCTGTTTTTTATTATCAACACAAAAGTAGAAAACCGCCTCGTTTCCCGATTTAGTTTTTTCTCATTTCTAAACGAAAAGCCATTGGCTGCAAACTGCACTGACCCTTATTCTTTAATGCCACAATTAGCAGCACAGGTTTGTTAACATTGTCTTACACATACCAGCCCATCCACTCAGGAACTGGGAGGCACTTAAATGTGTTTTTCTTTATTTGAATAATAAAAAGATATTAATAATAGATTTGAAACCCATTTTAACATTTAGTTCGGCCTTAAATCTGCACTGTGGTTGTGGCTCCTCACTCTCCTCCCATTACGCCTTCCTCGGTCTCTTCATCTGTTACGTCTCCATCTGCTCGCTCATCTCCTCTATCCTTCCTTCAGTCTCTCCCTCTCTTCCCTCAGTCTCTAACCTCTGATCTATAAAAGTTGTGTTAAGTCTCATTACTTTTCCTCCGCCTCTCTTGTTCTCCCCCTTCCTGTCTCACTTCATCCCACCCCTTTAAAAACGGTATTAAATCTCATCTCATTTACCCTCCATGATCCCTCCATCTCTGCTGGTCACACATGTGCCTGTGCTTCATTACTCCGTCTAACACCCTCCTCCTCCTCTCGATGAAGTATTAAACCATTATCCCTCCTGCACTTTGCAGGCAGTGGACCTGAACAAGAAGGGCAAAGACACTAAACATCCGATGTACAAAAGGCTGATCCACACTGCGCTGGACGTCTCAAACATCCAGGAGGTAACCATCATGCCCAGCATCGTTCTATAAAACCCCCAGTATCTTAATACTGGCCTAACTCTTTATCTACTTCATCTGTTTCTTATTTACGTCTATTGACTTTACTGTCTGCGATACTGAAGCATCCACTCTTAGTTATAAGGATTATCTGCTATTTTATGTGTATTTAATGATGTTTAGCAGTGGACGTTGGAGACTCTTCATATTCCAGTGTAGATTAAGAACAGTGAAAGTCTTTAGTCACACTGAATCTAAAAATATGTGTATCATGCCTGTTTGCTTAGATATGACTGAGAGTCGACACAAACACCAGTCCTCCCATTCATTGAGTGGGGGTAGTCAGTGGCGGGGGGGCTGCAGGGGATGCTGAAAAGAAAAACAAAAAAGTTGAAACAGAATCAAATTTTAGAGAGACGTTGAACTGCAGTGGCCAATCCAACGTTAGTACCGGTTCCACTGCTCCACAGTGAGCCAGAAACATCCCTGAAACCAGGTGCTATCCAGGCGGAGGTCGTTAAACAAACTGTGAAACTCTCCCAGTTGTGTCCTCGCTTTGTTTATTTCGTGTACCCAGCTTCGATGTGTGTCCGGCCTGCAGTCTGTGGGTTATGAGGAGAGCTGGTGAGGAAGCATCAGAGAAATAAAACCTTATCTTCTGCTTGTTTCACACATTTTGATGCAAATTGCAGCAATCAGGGACTCTGGGGTTTAAAGTACCTTAACTGCCTCCACGAGGTGTGTCAGAGCTTCAACTCTACAGTGCCCCCCCCCCCCGGAGACGCCCGATCACAGATTACAAATCTCTGGATTAAACCAAAGATTATTAGTATTAGATATTTATCGGAACTGCTCAATGTTTTATTCACTTTTTAAAAATATTTTTTTCATTTACTGTTAGATAAATTGTTGTGATTTAGAATTGTGGGTGTGTGTGTGTGTGTGTGTGTGTGTGTGTGTGTGTGTGTGTGTGTGTGTGTGTGTGTGTGTGTGTGTGTGTGTGTGTGTGTGTGTGTGTGTGTGAGGTCAGACAGGACTCTGCTGTGCTGTGGTCAGTGGTGCATCACACCCAGCCTCTGCCAGACACACTGGAGCACTGCCCAGACCTGTGTGTGTGTGTGTGTGTGTGTGTGTGTGTGTGTGTGTGTGTGTGTGTGTGTGTGTGTGTGTGTGTGTGTGTGTGTGTGTGTGTGTGTGTGTGTGTGTGTGTGTGTGTGTGTGTGTGTGTGTGTGTGTGTGTGTGTGTGTGTGTGTGTGTGTGTTTAATAAATACACTGCCCTCTCCTGGACCTCTCTCATGTTGGTCACCAAACAAACGCCCAGCATGTGAATATGTCTCTTTGTTACTCTCCCTCACCCTCTCTTTCTGACCAACTTTCTCCCTCTGTCTCTCTCACATGTTTTTGTCTCTTTCTCTGTCCCTCTCTCTCTCTCTCTCTTTCTCTCTCTCCCTGTCAGAATTTGACTGAAGGAAAATATAAAACCTTTGAGGAGTTCAAAGCAGACGCTCAGCTGATTGTTCACAACACCGCCATCTTGTATGGAGGTAGGTCAAAGTCGTACATATATAATATATATGAGTGCAGGGCTGCAAAATAATGATCATTTGTATTGTTGATTAATCTGTCGACTGTTTTCTCGATAAATCAATCAATGATTGCAGATTAATGTTGACTGTGGTTTCTTTTGCGTTTAGTTTGAAGGCTGACATTGTTGGATAGTAGTGCTGATACAGTAATATCAGTTAGTTGCACACTTATCAACCCTCCCTTTCCCGGTTTCCTCCCGGGGTCACTTCTCCCTTCAGTTCTCCTGTATTTCTCATGATTTGACACATTTTCCCTGTGCAGTGTGTATAACTGCTGAACCAGCCTATGCAGAGCTTCACTTTATTATAATGAACCCGCTCTGCTGTGGCTGTTACTGTTTCCACCTGGACAACAATGAATGAAATCCTCCCTATTTTTTACCTCTCAAGTATGATTATTATTATTATGACATGTAACAATATGTATGTGTCATTTTATACCAGATTTGTCTCCATTATCTGAAAAACAAGATGGAAAGTAATTACCAAGTGTTATTGGTTTTAAGAGATGGCGGTTACAATCTGGATAATCTGTAATCTGTAATACCTGCTGAGTGTTGTTCTGTTTGTTGCAGTTCACAGCGACCAGGCAGAGATTGCACGGCTGCTCTTCAGCGACACATGCCACGAGGTACTTCAGAGTATTAAAATGTAGTTTAGTTTTGATGTTAAGAGTTTGTTGGTATACGTCTCCTTTTAATTTTAAATTTGTGTCCAGATTTGTTCAAAAAGTTTAAGACTGAACTTTTCTTTTCTTACCCTTCTCCCTCTTTTGTCCCCTCATTCCTTCTCTCTACCTCCATCTTGTCTCCTCCAGTTGAATGAGTTATTGTTGTGTAAGAACTGTTTCTACCTGTCGAACGCCCGGCCAGACAACTGGTTCTGTTATCCCTGTGTGAGTACCAAACCCGCTCCATCAGGCCCAACTACGGCGCCCCGGGGTCAGACTGTATTTCGTAACAGATGCAGCAACACACAGTTTTATCTTTTAAATGTTTTTGCTTCTTTAACAGCAGAAGCATTACTTTTATACTACTGTTATAATTGGTAGCAGTCGTAAGATACAATTATAATTATATTTAATATTAATGTCACTAAAAAACTGATAATTTAAGAGTAGATGTTTGATCTGAGAGAGTGTGGATTAAAGCTATTCTGGAGTGGCAGATGTGGCTCTTTCATGTCAGCTCAGTGTCTCTATTGGTTACAAATACACCGCTGGGTCGTATCTTTGGTCTATTAGGTTTCTTTTTGTGTGTGTGTTACCTCGGCAGAGCCCCAACCACGACTTGGTGTGGGCCAAGATGAAAGGATTTGGCTACTGGCCGGCCAAAGTCCTTCAGAGGGAGGACAACCAGGTGGACGTACGCTTCTTTGGCCACCAGCACCAGAGGTTAGCACAGCTGGCAGACGTCACAACAACACACTGCGTCACTTCTCATAGCAGCAGTTTGTGTTACTTATTACTACAAGACATCTTTAGTTTGTTATCCTTCTCAATGAGGACTGTTACTGTTCTCACAGGTGTGCACACCGTTCATAAAGCGGTTGCACTAAATGTAGCACTGGAGCACAACAAATGGATGCCACCAGATTCCACTGACAAAACCAGTAATTTTACAACGCAGATAATCATGAAACACTTCAAACTGCGCAGAAAAAATAAACTCTCCAAGACCTGTCTTTGTTGGTCTTTCGACTGTTCAGCAGTCATTCATTGAAATGTAGTGCTGCTAGGTTAATCTCGAGCACTGTTGTCCCGGTCTTACCCAGAGCGTGGATCCCCGCGGACAACATCCAGGACATCAAGGTGAGCGTTCAGCAGCTGCAGGTGAAGCGCAGCAACGGCTGGAAGAAGGCGTGCGAGGAGCTGGAGGTGTACCAGCGCTTCCTGAGGGAAGGACGCTTCTGGAAAACAAAGATGGAGGACGCCAACATGCCACACCAGCATCTCCAGCAGAACCAGAACCAGAGCCAGAACCAGAGCCAGAACCAGAGCCAGAGCCAGAGCCAGAGTCAGAGTCAGAGTCAGAGCCAGAGCCAGAGCCAGAACCAGAACCAGCGGCAGCAGCAGCAGCAGGGCAGCGGGAGGACGGACAGGCTGGAGCGGACAGACGAAGCCGAGTCCAGCATCTCCTCCACCAGCAATGAGCAGGTCCGACATGTAAGTTGGGTCAGTTCAGTCGATGGCTGCTTCTTTAAATAGATATTGTTTTGTTCTTTTCATCTTACAAATGACAGGATGCATCATGCTGGATGTGCTGATACATGTGGCAGAATTGGGTCTTTGTATCTGGAGTTTTAAATGCAACTCATACGTCAGCTATAAACTGCAACGAGCAGCTGTGATCATGTCCCTCTGCACAGCACAGAGACGTCTCACTGCACGCTGCAAGTTAGACATACAACCTCAACCTCAGGAGCCAGGAGTCCTCGTTGTTGGGCTCCAGTACGTTAGGTTTCATCAATAACAATTGAATTTGTGCAATTGACCACGTTAAAACGGTCTTCCTGAAACCAAGTGACGAGTCAGCTACGCTTACTGTCTTCTAAGCAGCACATCTCAGTGTCGTAACATTAAAATGCATTTATTGTGAAAGGCCTTCAGGAAGTGTATGAGGTAGTATTATGCACAGCAGATTGCTGTAGCACCAGTATCTGATGAATGTAGAAGGAACCTACGTTAATATCAGGACAGACAGACAGACAGACAGGCAGACAGACAGACAGGCAGACAGACAGACAGAGGGTTCTTGTCAAAGCTACCAGGTCTTCACAGAAGATAGACAGGAGTGCAGTCTCCCACACCTGACTCAGTTTCAGAAGCACCAAATCTGGTCATCTGCCACTGGTCAGAGATTTCTTGTTCCTGCCTGCTGGATCTTTCCACATTGGGTTTGGAAGAGTGAGTGGTTGTAATCGGGCTCTCTCTTTATTTATGTGACATTTCCTTTGTGCTCCGTGAAGTTTGTTTCATCGAGCTCTTGCTGCCTAGTTTATTCTCGTCTTTCTGTCATCTTGACTTTGTTTTATTCTCCGCAGCTAATGTTCACAGACAAAGTCAAACAGCTTCTCTCACTGTCACAACACATTGAACATTCACGCCTTTATTTGTGAGTCTTGTTAACACCAGTTCAAACTTCCTCTGAGGGTTTCTCTTTGATTGTACCTCCCTATGCTGCAGACAAACACCAACCCAACGGGTAGATCACGCTTACGAGAAAAATAAGATAATAAAAGAGCAGCACAAAGACAACAAAGTCACCAGGTAAAGTGTCAGGGGAAATATATTTACATTAAAATGACACAAACTGAAATACTGTAAGGATAAATACAGCAAATAGTGCCATCTGGTGGCTGAACGTTGTTAGCACAAACATGGTACTGGTATTTAAAATTATTCATTATTCAATTTGGCTCAAAAAGACATTCTGATGCTCTCTATAGTTTTCCTTTCAGTCTTATTTTCTACTCTTCCTGGTTAATGGATTTAAGATGAATTTTCTCAAGTGATCGAAGACTTTCGCCACTTTACACAAATAATAAAACACATAATTAATAGCCTTTGGAACTGTTTGAAGATCGTAAACATCTTTTGCCTCCAGGTTCTCTCCTTATTACAGTGTTCTCAGTCTACACTGGAACAAGAAAGAAACAACTTGGTATTTTTTTTATCTTTCTTCCAGCTCAAAGGCAGCCAGGAGCCCAAGGCTAAGAAAAGTCGTCGATCTCAAATGGTCGAGCCCAAAGAAGAAGTCAGTGTAAGTTAGCCTACAGAAATCACCCTGTGGTTACACTGATTGTTATAACTGATGCATTCGTTGATATTCGCTTATTGCAGATATAAAAGAAAATATATTATTATTATTATTATTATTATAGATACTTTAAGGGTTATTAGAAGAAGAAAAAAATTCTATCCTATCAAAAATGTTTGAGTGTGTTACATTCATGTAAAACATTTCTGCTCTCTGTTACTGCTGTTGGACTCAAACACAGTATCGGGGCTTTTTTTATTTTTTTAATTAAGTATTTTTAAATTTTTTTATTTAATTCAAACACGGACCATCAATTTAGAGGATTTTTCTAAAGTTTAATACAGCATCCATTTACGCCATTTATTCGGGAGACCTCCAATTTGAGAGGATTTTGTCTTAAGGAATCTTCTAAAGTCAGTCAATTAATGATCAAATTATCAAGCTAGAATCACAATAAATGACAGTTAATCAAAGCAACCAACCTGATTCCTTCCCTTGTTCCAACTTCCAACACAGAAATGTGAGATATATGTGAAATATTCATTATTATACAACCAACTCGAGGACTCTACTTCGAAAACAGTAGAATTATTTTGTTATACAGTGATGGAAAAATGTGATGATGAAGAATTCTAGTCCATATCGTCCCTGCTGCTTTTCCATCATATAGTCATACTATGGTATTAACTTGTTTTCTATGTCAAAAACTTAAAACCTACAGCGTCTCCCATCCTCTCCTCCCCGCCAGGACCCGGAGCCCGAGATGGAGGCGGTCAGCTCCAGCCAGGAGATCCCCGTGTCCTCGGCGCCGCAGCAGCCGGAGAAGCTGTCTGTTTCCACGCAGACCAAGAAGGCCAACGGAGGGTCGCCACGCACGCTGCACCGCGGCACACAGACCAACAGCGACGGCGCCTGCCAGAACATGTGCCACGAGAAGTACACAAAGGTCTTCAATGACGTCAAGGAGATGATGAAGGCGGACAACAAGAGGGAGACGGAGAGGGTGGTCAGAGAGGCTCTGGAGAAGGTGCGTTCAAGCGCAGAAGATTGGAAACTTCTGTGTCTTGTTGAGAGTTTGAGTTAAAAAGCCAGCGTGTCCCGTCTGTCTCTGTCCCTTCAGCTCCGGGCCGAGATGGAGGAGGAGAAGCGCCAGGCGGTGAGTAAGGCGGTGGCCAGCGCTCAGGCGGAGATGGAGAGGAAGTGTAAGCAGGTGAAGGAGAAGTGTAAAGAGGAGCTGGTGGAGGAGGTGAAGAAGCTGGTGGCCCAACACAAACAGCTCATCTCCCAAACCAAGAAGAAGCAGTGGGTGAGTTCTGGACAAATCTCGAACCAGGTTTTATCCGCAGCTCAAGTTTGAATGTTTTTGACTAAAACTTTATTGTTTCATGAGCTGAAACCAGAGGCTTTTATTCAATCGCACGACCTTTCTCACAGAGTTCCTGTGTTTGTCCTCTCTCCTCAAATTGGCCAAAAAGTGAAGTTTTAAAATGGTTCTGTCATCTGGAAAATAAATTAATTTGTGACTGCTGGCGTACATGAAGTGCGATGGTTCACTATAAATTCATGGCCAAAAACAATGAAGACCTAAAAAGGGAGCTGTACCCACAGACTTCAAACAGCTTCATCCTGCATTAGAAAAGTTCAAACATCCACAGAGCTGATAGAACAATGAGAAGAAATCACTGAGATTGTCAAAAAATAAGGATTTTAAATCATTAAGGATGCATTAAAAACATAATACAGACAGAGAATTGTATAAAATGTTCCTAAAATATCAAGAAAACTGATCCCTGATCAATATTCACAGGAAATAATCTGCTCACAGTTCATCCCAATTACACAAACTTCCTGCATTAATAATTATATTTCTCTTTATAATTAGTGTTAAACAGGTTGCATGTTGTTTGTGTTGTAGCGGAGTTCCTCTCGGCCTTTCCACTGATTGAATTTGAACGTATTGATACTCGTAGTGCTGACTCACCGTTAGTGTATCTGTGTTGAACGTGAAGCTTTGTGCTGTTTCAGTGTTATAACTGCGAGGAGGAGGCCATGTACCACTGCTGCTGGAACACTTCGTACTGCTCCATCAAGTGTCAGCAGGAGCACTGGCACGCCGACCACAAACGAACCTGCCGCAGGAAGAGATGAACGAGCCCCGCCCCCCATTGGCTCTCGCCCTCTCCTCCTCCCGTCAGTCAGTGTCTACAGCGCACGCACACACACACACACACACACACAGACACACAGACACACACAGACTCACCTCCCTCCTGCTTCTCTTCTTGCCTTCCTGAAAACTTTGTGGACCCGATGTTTTCTGCGTGAAAAGAGCAATTTGTTCTTTCTTTTTTTATTTTTACATTTTGTTTTTATTATTTAACGTACCCATTGTATTGAGTTCTTTCTTTCTATATCTTCTGTTTTCTCTCTGAATCGTGGACAGATTGCTCGAGGGCACGGCTCAAAACGCGGAGTTGATTTTGTGACTTTTGATTTTTGTTTTTTTTTTCTTTTCTTTTACTGAAGTGCTAATTTTTTGAGCTTGTGTGTCGGAGAATGTGTTATTTAAGTGTTTAGTAACTGATGAGCATTAACTGAATACATTTTATTACCTGAATTTTTAAACAAAACAAACAAAAAAAAAATCACTTTTCTTACTGTAAATGCAACAAATACACACCGTCGATCTTACAGAAAAAGGAAAACATACCGTAAAGTACCATCGCAGCGTTCAACTAGCTCGGCTTTCATAGAGAAAACCTATTAAATAAAAAAAACGACAAAAAACTGCATATGATCTTAAATAGTGGACGACATGACTCACAGACGTTAATATATATTTTGCGGTGGATAGCACCTTTTATCATTTCTACCTAAAATGTCCTTAAGTCACTTATTGGGAACAGGGTCACGAGGTCGGCCTTAAAAGACGCCGACAAAATAAATCTTCCATGTACTATTATTATTATTATAATTAATATTATTATGCACATTTTTTTTTTTTTTTTTACGAGACTGTAATTTTTATGAGTCGGATAGCGAGAAAGAAACTTTTTAATTTGTTCTAAATTGGGGAAATGTACAGCAATCCTTACTGAGCTGGATCTTAGAGAGGTTCCATGATTTGACAGTTTTTTCCACTTTTTTTTTTTTTGCACACTTTTCCTTAACAACCCAAATGCTTGTAATATTGCCAAAAGAAACTCTGACATTTAGTTGAACCTATCAGAGATCTCCCTCGTCTTCGCTCTCGCAACCCGAACGTTTGCGAACGTTTTCTCGAGCGTCACCGGCGTCGTTTTTTTCTAGCGACGTGCACTCGAAATCCTCCTCCTCCTTTTTTTTTTTTAATCCTGAAGGGAACTCGCTGTGAGACTCTTTCACTGCTTATGCTGTAGTTGGTGGTCAGTGCCTGTCTCTCTTTCTTTTCTCATCCTCTTCCTCCCAGTTCATGCATGTTGATAGTTTCATAGTTTGTCTTTTTTTATCATTACGGTAAAACAAAAAAACATAAAAAAAATAAAGAAGACCAGAAGCTCGCTGGTGTCTAATAAGCAGTGACGACGGATGGACCAATATAAAACATTATGCAAATGTGAATGATCAAATTAATCTTTTCTATAGTTCTCCCTGCGCTGGATGTCGAGTGTCGATGGTGTATAAATATGGTGCTTGGAGTCTTTTCTCTCTTTTCAAAGGGGCAATAAAATTGCCAGTTTTTTTTAATTTTCTTTGAGAAGTGTGACGCTTTTAAAATTTGTTGACTGTTTCCTCAGTTATGAAGATTGACTGAACGGAGGAAAAAACTTCAGTAACTCTGTACAGACGCTGTTTTTAAACCCACAGATTGCTGTTTATAAGTTTGTGCTTCTGCTATCGTGTGGCAAATAAAATACCGTAAATTCTCTCACAGTGGGCAGCGCCTTTAATCAGGTTCCGTACAGAGAACCACTTTATATCCAGCTCCTCTTATTGTGAAAGTCCTGCTGCTTCTTTTTACTGTAAGTGGAAAAACTTCCTTCATCAGTTCAGGCGGTCGCACACAGTTTATCTGCGATATCTTCACTGTTGTGGGAAATAGGGCTTCAACAAAGTATTGTTTTTACAAAATCGATTAATCTCTTAATCCTAGTCAGTTGTTTGGTCCACAAACCCCAAAAAAATATTCACATTTCAGAAGCTGAAATTAAAGAATTTGGATGTTTTTTTTCTTTAGAAATTCCTCAAAACGATCAATAAATGATCTAAATAGTGTGAGATGAATTTAACAGTTGGCAGCTAATGGTTGTAAATGTTAGCAGTTGGTACAGGAGGAAAAATCTAATTATTCTTCCAGGAAATAATGTAAATACATCCACCAACGGATATCGACAGAATAAATCCCCAAACTACAGGCAAACTGAATAAAGTACGTAATATTTACTAAGATCTGTTTACTGTTTGCAGTTAGTTCACGAGGAATCAACGCGCTGTAAGATGTGAAACTAGGACTTCATTATGCAACTGCCAGTTAACCTCCACTGAGTTCAGACTGAAACTAATGATCCAATATGTAATGTAATAATAATAATAGTCTGTTCGACACCCAGATCCTCACATTTGAGAAGCTGGAAGCATTTATTCGCTTGTTCACTGATTCACTGTTCATTTATCCGTTATCAAAATGTTCTCTCGATCAAACTTACTAATCAATGAACCGACGGTTTGAGTCTACCTTTAACCCTGGAAGGCTCTTATTTTGAAGCATGTACAGGAAGTGTTGACTTGAATAAACGACGAAGAGGAGAAGAGACATCGGGCAATATGTTGGTAGCTGGTGGAACATTACTGTTGTACACAAACACACAATACGATCATCATCGTTTGAATCTGTCCACTTTTAGAGGATTTACGGTAACCGTTGTTCCAGACTTTCACCCACTCGTCTCTGAGTCTTTCTTTTGGAAACTCATTTAAGTGTATCACTTTAAGATGTAACATGTTATTGTACAGTTCAGCCGCAGTTTGACGTCTCTCCTCGGATCTATTTTAATATCGGATTTCTGAAAAGAGGTCTTTTAAAAATGTTCTCGTTGTGTTTCCACACCTCCGCAGGCTTTAAGGGTCAAACCGTCTGTTTCTATTATTTTTTTTTTAATCATCATTGCACTACATGTAAATAAAAAGCTCATCCTGTCAATATCTCCTCCCTCATATTATATGCACATTGTAAATTCACAGATATTTTGTTTTCCTGTACTCGCAGCGATCTGGATGACTGTTGGTTTCTAGTTTTGTACAATGTACAACCGTTCTCATATCGTTACCGCGGCGCTCCGAGCTTCGTGTCATCTTCGGCGCGTGTGTTTCTGTGAACTCCCAGCATCCCTCACACCTCGTGCTGAAAACCAGGCAGTAAACGCAAGTTCTCCCAAACACACGCCACCCTGAAGGCAACACGCCGCTTTTTTCCTCCGACTGTTTTTATATTCGTCCATCCAGCCGTAAAAAGATTTCAGTGTGAACAGTTTTATTATTTTTCTCCTGCTGTGGAAACTCTTTGATGTCATTCCAGTTTGTATCTCTGGTTTTTAACTGCATGAGTAAAAGGTGTGTGTTTCTACGGCTCCTTTTTCTTTCCGTTTGTTTTTAGTTTTTCTCTCCTCGTGTAAGAAAAGACGTAGTTGCACTCCCTCAGAGAACTGCAATATGACAATGATGTTTTTTTTGTTTTTTCTGGAACTTCAGTCGAGCTAAATCAAACGTTTGAGGCTGTTTTCAGCTGGAAAAAGTGAGTGAATCGATCAGATCGTCGCCCATAAGCAGACTTTCCACTGTTGTTATTCCACAGTGTTGTAGTGCATCATACTGTGTGAGTACTCGATGAACTCCTGCTCGTACTTCCTGAGTATTTATGTACTTGGAACTGGAATAAAACCAGTGTAAAGCTTCCTGTTCTCACCTCCTGTAGGTCATCTTCTGTTCTGTCCATATGTAAACTATTAATTGTGGCTTAACATTTTCTATGCTCCTGACCTTATTTTTTTTTTTTTTTTTTTTTGATGCTTTAGCTAGCAATATGTATATAAATATATTCTATGTGCTAACATGGAGGAAATAAATGTATCAACAAGTTCCTGTGTTTCCATTTTCTGTTATTTTTTTAAACTTTCTGAAAATGTGAAATTTACTTTATACTGCGATCAATAATGAACTGTACAGGACAGTAAAGTGTCTTTTTAAAGGCTCAGTTCACCCAAATGACATCATGTGTTATCATTTAGCTCAATTTATTTTTACATCTGCAGATAGTTTTGGTTTTATTGCTCCAGATTTCCAAAGGAATGAATGTTTGTGGCGCTCAAAGCATTAAATATATTTAAAATATTAAACATTTCTTTCCAGAAGCAATACTCCAGTTACTCTGGATGATGATTAAATGGAACTACTGTCTCTCAAAGATGTACAGTAGCTCTTAAAATGTTGACAGCTGTAACCAGGAGACCGTTTCTGGAGAGACTCAAAACAGAAGGTATCTGCACGACGAGGTACGACTGCAGGTAAGACGCAACTTCTTTCTCTTTTATTATCTGGATCAACGACAAAGAAACTGCATGCTGTATGCTGTCAAAGCCTCGTGAGAGCTGGAGCTGTTGTATAATCTTCAAATAACCTCCAATACTAGTCCAATACTGACCAAAATAAACAGGAACACCTTTCTAACACCAGAGAGTGAGACACCGATCTTAGAAGATACTGATATTTGTCTGATTGTCCAACAAATTGTCCTCCATTAAACTCCTCAGTGAGCTGCACTGTTGCACTTCATCACCACGAACACACACTGCAGTTTATTTAGACTCACACACACACACACACACACGCCGTCCCGCTGCTCCAAATACTCACAAAGCACCGAATGTGGATTCATCCGCTGCTGAAAATAGTCCCCAAACAGAAGCACTGTGACGTCTTCAGTAGGAACCAGTGGACAAACACACTGTTGGTCTTTTCATGGGATTTGTTGATGATCAAAAAAAACTATTAACGCTGCCTTTCTCCTTTAGATAGTCTTTGAATATGGAATAAAAGTTATATTTAGTTTGATCATTTAAAAAGGGAACTAATTAAATGTGTGATTCGGGTCTATAAAGATAAAACTAAACTCAGTGACAGTTCATTAATGAGCCTGAGAGATATGGAGGCGTTCGGTCGCAGCAGTCACAATAAAGAGTAAAGATTATCATACGAGGGATGCACGATAATTATCAGATAATTCATCGCCCGATGATGGGAAATTTATATTATAATAAATTATCGGGGGACATTAATAATCATTTATTTGGCTTTATGTTCTGTTATTTTAATGAACTTTACAAGAAAAAGTAATAAAACAGAATCAGAACTGTTAGATTTGGATATTAAATGTAATATTAAATCATCTGTATGTGCTCTCTACATTAACACCCTCGGCTGTGTAACAACTACAGGTTAATAACTTTTTAATATATCGGTATCAGCTGATAAACAATCCATATGGTTCATCCCTACCTCGTACAGTAAGTTCTATCAGTACAGGATGTATAAAGACAACGTAGGACTCACCGTAATCAATGTAAACAATAAAAACACCAACATCCCATTTTTTTACTGTCAAAATTCTTGAAATATTTATTTAATTGAAAGACTTCATGTCAACTCAAATAAGACATTTTTTAAAACCTTTAAAAAAAACATACTGGGGGGGAAACATACATTTTTGCTGATAAAAGAAAGAGAAACAAACGGTGAAGAAAGTGCTTTTTTTTTCTCTTTTCGTGTGTTGAAACTCGAACATTCTCGCCCCGACAACCTCGAATCACAGACTGAACGTCGTATCCCTGCGACCTTCGACCTCTCCGCAGCTCTGTAACGAGTTAAAGGGTCTCTGGTTAAAACGCCTCCTTTGCCTCCTGGTTCAGTCTTTATTCCTGTCGTGACATCACTGTTTGAGCCCTGATTGGTCGGTCCGTGTAAAAATATGAAGGACTTCTGACTCTGATATTTACAATAGTAACAGCTCGCCCTCCTGCCTGTACGGGAGACACTCAGAGGTCTCCGTGAGGATTCAACCTTTTCCCAGCCGGAGGTGTTCAAAGAAAGTAATCCAGTAACTGCTGTTGGTCTGTTTGAACTGAGGAGTTTTATTCCAGTCGGGAGAGAAACTAAAACTATTCCTATTTATTACATTTTCAACGTCAGAAAACCTGTTTGTTCCCTGATTAATGTGATTTATGAAGAGTTCTGATCCAAACTGCAGTTGTTTATAGGTTTGTTTTAATTCCTGCTGGTGGCCACTAGAGGTCAGCACAGCTCCTGGATGACTTAATGTTCCCTTACAGCCGCGGTTCCCAACATTTTTCTATCACTGAGTGAACCGACAACCCCTGACCAAGTGACATTTTATGGATATTTCATACTATATTCAATTTATAACAATAACAGTACAAACTTGAATGAATGAATTTTGAGCTGATTATTTCTTGTAAATATTGCGTCACAAACAAGTTTTAGGGAACTTTTTATACAATTCTGTCTGTATTATGAATTTTTATAATTTTCTTTTGATGATACATACTTATTGGGCTTCTTTTTGGATGGATTCAGTGTTTCCTTCTCATTGTTCTATGAGCTCTTTGGTTGTTTTAACTTCTCTAATGAAGGAAAAGGCTGTTTGTGTTCAGGTCATTACCGTGTCCTAATATCTTAAATAATAATCCAAACTTTAAAAATGATCTCATTTAGTTTTCTAGCCTTGATTTTAAGATATGCTAGAAAACTTAAATAACATAGTAGGCTGATATCTCAGCATTTGGTTCACTTCTGTGAAGAAATGTGAAGTAAATTGTCTAATAGGACAATGGTCAGGGACAAGAACACACTGAATTTGTCAGAAAAGAAGAATATTAAGTCTGTATGATTGTTAAAAATGATAAAATACATAATACAGACACAGAATTATATAAAATGTTCTGTATACAGGAAATAATCTGCTCAAAATTCATCCAAATATCTGGTTTACACAAACTTCCTGCAGGTACTGAGTTCACTGTTTGGGTTCATTGTACAGTTTTAATATAATATGAAATAGCCATAAAATATGTCAGTTAGTTTACTCAATGATAGAAAAGGTGTCCCTCATTGGAAATCTACACATTAAGCATATCCAGAGCTCAGTTTTGTGTTTGTGTTTGACCGTCAGCCCACAAAAAAAATACGGAATATTAAAGTCGGTGTGATTCACCAAAAACTGAGCAGAAATGAGGAAAAGCCAAATAACTCACATTATATTTAACGTCACTTAAAAGTGTAGAAACTGTAACACAGGAAGAACGATTGTTTCACTGCAAACACATTAAAATTATTTAGAATCGAGGTCATTCGTCAAATTTCTGAACAACCAAAAGGGGGAAATGATGCAATTTTACATAAATCCATCAGAAATATTGACTGCATCAATTAGAAACTGAAGGCAGCGATTGGTAAGTTAAGGGTACAAATGACTAATGTTAAATAACAACTTATCTTTCCTAATGGAGAAAGGTGAAAACCTTTCCAGACTTTAGTAAAAGTGGATGTTTTGGATCAGAACTCTTCACGTGGACGCTGGAATCGACTCCGACAAACTGCCTGAAACATTTCAGACCAACGTGCAGATAAAAAAGCATCGCGTGTCAAACGTCTTCCGCCTGGTGCGAATCCTCGACTCATCTTTTTAATATAATCTATAATCATATATTTCTATTTTCCATAATATGCTTGATGTGAGTGTTTCACTCCAGATAATACAACGCTGTTTTGTTTTTTTATATTAGCAAATATTCAAGAGCAAAACATTCTTGAACGTCTCGTCATATACTTCTAAAAGAGAAACAAAATAAATTAAATCAGTTTCTTTTTGTACATACTTACATGATATGAATTGATGTATTGTTTTTACTTCAGTCGAAGCGTGTTGGTACGGAAAAATAAACGGAGTTAAAGGCTGCAGCTGTTAGTTTATGAAGGTTAGCACGCTGGTTTCCCGCTGAGATGGGACGGACGCTTCGGAGAATAATGCTGAATAAAAAAAAAAAAAGTAACACTTACGCTTACAAAAAATAAAACCAACGACAAGCTAACATGAAACAAACGAGTAGTACCTAAAACAGCTGCGATTCGCCCCCTCGGACCCCGCCCTCGTATCAAAACATATCTCACTCTTTGTAATGGTTGATATCGTAAAAACGTAAATATCATTTTTGCCACAGTTTGTGTTTTTGTGTAAATATTCTTTTCAAAAAATAGCCTAAACTTTTTGGAACCAACAAAACAAAACAAAAAAAAACTAAACCAAGCGACTTCAGCAAATACTTAACAGGAAACTCTAGAGTGAGCCACACGCAGTTAAAACGCCCGAATCTCCTCCGCCAAACGATTGTCCTCTTCCGCCGTCTGCGGGCCGCACGATTGCAACTTTTCGGTAAACTATCGGCACAAATGGGGGAGTTTGTTGCTCTGGATGGGGGAGACTGCACTTCCTCTCAGGCTGAGTACGAACTCCTCGGCCTGAATGCTAATAGCCTAAATATAACAGTTTGATTCTGGGAGCTAGTCGGCGGCTTTACGTAGCCTGGGAACAAGCGCTGCCTTCTCCCCTCGTGCCACAAACTCAGCCTCTGGCTCCGTTTTTTTCTTTATTGTCAGTCTCAGGAGCAGAGCGTCTTTGCATCTTCCCAAACAATCCTTCATCCACCTTCCACGTTGGCCGCTAGGGGGCGCTACATGTTGTAGGCCACGTAGATTGGGTCCAACTGGTCGGCCAGGAAGCCGTCGCGCAGGTGCATGCGCTGCTTCTCGCCGCGGGAGTTGATGGGGATGACGCCGATGTCGACGACCACCACCACGCCCACGATCAAGTAGTGCTCCTCCAGCACCACGTTGGTGACCAGGGGGACCAGGTCCAGGGCCTCCTGCTCCGAGCCGTCCAGCTCCACCACCACCACCAGCAGGTTGGTCCACGTGAACACCGCGCTGGAGGAGAAAGAACACGACACATGTCTCTCCAGGTTCTCACAGGGGGTTTCTGGGATAATTGGAGCTCAAAATGACTCAATTTCCAGCAGCAATCCCAACACATGGCACCAATTTGTAGCCCTGAAGTGAGTAATGTCGTGACATTTAAGGTTATTTTTCTGTGACTAAAATGTAAATCTGTTAGGATGCCAGCAGAAAATCCTTCAACAAGTCTAAGTAGATGTAGAAATCTGTTCCAATGCCAGGAACGTTCCTGTGTAGTGCAGAGATTCAGATAGAAACATTTCTGACGCCGTGTCGTTTCTCACCACTCTGTGATGCTCTTGTGCGTCCTGATGACGGAGGTCTCGATGTCGATGGGGTGGTAACGCATCCCTCTCAGCTCCATGGCTTCCTCCAGAGCGCCGACCACGTACAGGGCGTCATGGCGCTCTACACACACACACACACACACACACACACACACACACACACACACACACCTTTGTTTTCAGACAGTAACTTCAGATCTCCTCTGACGACAATCTCACAAGTGTTTTTTGTTTCTCACTTTCTATAATGCCCATATATATGATGTATGTGTTACACTGAGCTTATAGTACTGTATCATTACAAAATAAGCACTCAGAAATATTCATAGTTCATAAATAGAGAGCTGATACCAATAATTCTACATTGCTATTAACAACATACTTAATAATACTTATGTGTGCTTATAGCTATGTATAATTATAGTTATGAGCACTCAAATGCTTTATAACGTACTATTATCACTATTATAATGCATTATAATGTGATTATAGTATGTTATAAAGCATTAGGAATAATTTATTATAACTGATTATAATATACTATGAGAATTACTCATTACAATACAATATGATCCTTAACAATTATGATGTATCTTGACCTTAGAAATCATTCTAAAACACTTTATAAAGAATGATATTCCTTTCTATACAACTATTATTATAAACTGCTGTAAGTATGTTTATAATGCATTATAGACACGAGTGTCATATGAAGTGTTACAAAAAGTACAAATGTAATTTAAATGTGTTAATAAATCCTCTAGAGAATAATACTGCAGCGATAATGCTGCTGTTTGTTGATCAGAACACATTCAGCAGATTTTGGTTAAAGGTCAAATAATAAACTAAAAACATAGAAATCAGAGTCAGTGTGGCCACACTTACTATTTATGTTTTCCCAAAATCCTCTGAAGGTGTTAATATTTCATTAGACTGTGAAAGTCTGGCTGCCAGCGATCGCCATGGATGAATAGTTTATCTAACAGTTTCTGCCTCCACAACCTGAACTAACTCTTGGTTGCAGCTTTTAATGACAGCTTTAGATTATAAAGTTATATATATATATAAAGTTAATACACAACAGTGAGTCCGATTGTTTTCTATCTCTCCCCTCTGTCTCATATGAGAACGTTAAAGGTCAGCGTGAGCCCCCGTCCATCACACACACCGACCGTACAATCACATCATCCCGGGGCCTCACCTCCGCTGGCGTCCGTCAGTTCGGTCCTGCGGAGGAAGCCCAGGTATCCGGTCCTGGCCCAGACGGTCTGCGTGTCTCCGAAACTGAGTCTGGAGTTGAAGTGGTCCGACTGCAACGCCTCGTCTCCGTAGACGGTGAAGTAACCGCTGGCGTTGTGGCCGCTGTGCACCCAGATCTGCAAGCAAGAGACCGCAGCTGTTACACCACATGATAGCGGCTCTTTCTAGTCTTCTGACCCCCCCAGAGCTTTCCACTACGTGTACACCCCGACTGGCACAGCATCAGGAGCAATCTAGGGTTCAGCATCTTGCTCAAGGACACTTCGACATGCAGCGGGAGGAGCCGGGGATCGAACCGCCAACCTTCTGAGTACCTCCTGAGCCACAGCCCCATGGAGCTCCTGTTTACTGCTGCAGTGCAGATATTGACTGACTGCTGCTGCAGATTATTGTCATTATTAATTAATTAATGTCAAACAAAAAGTGTTTAGTTTAGTTTTTAATGATACAAGATTATTGTGTTTAATTATATTAACAAACTACTTAAAATCATGAATGAATGACTCAGATTATTGTGGAATTTTCTGTCAAGTTGCTCAATAAAGCGCCTTCATTTGATGATTGTAAGTATGTGAGATGGACCCTTCCTGTCTGCTGTGATGTTGATTCAGGTAAAAGAAGAAGTAGTGATACCTCGCCCAGGTGCGACTCCCCCATTGGTCCCTTGGTCTCTGGGTTGGCGATGATGATTCGGACCCCCGGCAGGATCTGCTCATAGACAAAACATCAACATCTAAATGATTTAAGTGTTTTAACTCAACCTTTTTTCTATAAGGGACCCTTTTCTATCCTTTATTAAACTGAGTCAGTGACATAATATATGGATATTTCATATTATATTAAAAACTGCACAGTGAAACCAACGGTGAACTCAGTAAAATGAGTGATTTTGGATGAATTATGAGAAGATTATTTCCTTTTTACTGAACTTCTGATACAATTCTCTGTCTGTATTATGTATCAATGTATCAATCACACAGTTAATGGGCGTCATTTCTGATCAATTCAGTGTTTTCTCGTCCATTGTTCTTTTAGACAATTTACATATCTTCACAGAAGTGAACCAAACGCTGAGATATCGGCCTAGTGGGGGTCCCGACCCCCAGGTTGGGAACCGCTGCTTTAAGTTTAAAAGAAACTGAAGCTCACCTTCCCAGACTCCATCAGTGGCAGGCTGTGTGGTGACCCCCTCTCCACTAGTCTGACCCTGTGGAGCAAAACCAACATCTGTTCATTAACTTTAATTAAACATCATCATCACAGATTCACGAGAACAAGTCTTTTACTAAAAGGACATTTACTGTGTATCCTGCTTAAAATATATATTTTTTAACTTAAAAACATTATTATTTGAAGCCTATTTTATTTTTCTCCTCCTGGAATAATAATTCATATTTCACTGTTTGCAGTTTTGGAGGATTTGATCTCCATAATAGTGCTCGACAGCACTCTGACTGGAGCAAATCTGGGACATTTTAGAAGGATCTCTCTGTTACTGTACGTCTGTGCCCAGAATGTCATCTTCAGATACGTCATTTGAAATGAAATAACAAAGAATACTGTGCACAGTCATTATACTTCTGTTCTGACCACTAACGCTTAAAATAAAATTATTGATCCCCGACGGAAACAGACAGAAGTGGTTGGTCAGATCATAAACAAGAAACACGGAGCGTCTCTGGGAGAACCGGGCCGGTTTAAATCAACAGTGATTACATGTAATCACACACACTGACAGTTATATTTATACACAGCGAGCCTCGCCGCTTCGTGTGCTGCGACTTCTCTGGAGGAAAATGACAGCGGAGCGGTCGCAGACGCAGGCTGAAGGCCATAATGATCCGCTGGATCAGAGAACAGGAAAGTGAAGTTTCCCAGACACACCGGGGAACTTTCTGGGCCCCCGACGTGTTTAAATTTACATTTTTACAGTTTGAGCTGCGAGCCGGAGTCTAGCTGAGCTGTAGTTGTCTCAGGATTGTTCCTTTAATCCCACCTGACCACCTTGTCAGGACATATTTGAGTAAATTGAAGGCTCGCTTGTCCTCCTGGAGTTGTTGTCCATCTCTGTTGCCTGGAAACTGACAATGTTTCACCAACTTAAGACATGAAATCTGACACTAATGTTGAGCCCTCGCGGCGATTTTCAAACCTCCGGGTTGGTTCACAAAGTCAGACATCTCCTCTGAAAGCCAAAAACTCTGGGAACACACATTCTGGAGACTCCCGAGTTGCTATTTATGGTGTCACCCAGCACGAAATGTGATTCAGACTGGGTTCGATGGGTTTTAAGTGTCTCTTTCTCAGACTGGAAGTGTTTTAGAGGAAGTGGAAGAGGCTCTGCGGGTGACAGCCGAGCTGAGATGTCTGAAATCGTCACGCCGTCTGGAAGAAAAACTTTCAGCTTCTCATTATATTCAAAGTTTTTACAATCAGCCAGGACCGGCGGCTGTAGAACAAGTCGTGCGTTAGAGTAAGCATCTTTACCGAGAACCTTATTTATTCTGGGAGCGTTCACAAACACCCCGCTGCTTCGCATTCACACTGCGGCTGCCCGGCAGAGGCTGCAGCAGCACTGAGATCCCTCAGCAACAAACACAAACTGTCGTGGGCACAGAATATATTTAATGTCTGTCTGTGTGTGAGAGAGGACGGAAAACAGACTTGTGGGATGAAACTTCAAATGAGAAAATATAACAGGATGTTATTACTGAGCTTACCCAAGCATACAAATCCAAAAGCCGTCATGTAAATCAAATACAGCTGAAATTCTTCCTGCAAGTATTTTAAAGTCATTTAATGAGGTTTGTTTTAAAGGACCAGTGTGTAGGATTAAATGGCATCTAGTGGTGTAGTTGCAGATTACAACCCCCTCGCCTCACTTTCTGATTCTATGCGTGATCGAGAAACTACGGTGGCTGCAGAGCTTATCTGGAGCTAGTTTGGTTTGTCCATCCTGGGCTACTGTAGAAACATTGCAGACTCTGTACACTCATGGAAATTACCTTTAAATGTTATATTTCATTTCTGCCAACAGATCCTCCTCAACGTTACACGCTGGACGTGTTCCCATCCTAAAAGTAGCCTGCTAGACACTTGAGTATCTGTATTTAAATGTGTATATATATAATATATATCAATAGAAATCTATAAAGGCCTTATTGGTAACTCATCCTGGTTACTAAAAGGAAATTCATAGGAAAGTTCTTGGAAAAGACAATAAAGACTATTAATCATTTCTAAATAATTTAAATGCAAAATGTCCAAAAACAGATTAAAGGTGCAGTGTGTAACATTCAGGAGGCTCTGGTGGCAGGAATGGAATATAATGGGATAACCTGAATGTAGAAATTGTATTTTAGTTACCTTAGATGAGCTGGTTTTATCCTCTTCTGCAGAGTCCGCCATGTTTCTACCGCAGCCCAGAATGGACAAACCAAACTCTGGCTCTAGACGAGTTGCACCATAGTTTCTTCTACACGCTTGGAAGGCGAGTGGTATTCAGTTAGTTGTAAGGGGAAACTTTACCACTAGATGCCACTAAATCCTACAGACTGATCCTTTAAATATAAAGGATATTTAGTTATAGTTGGTTTTAAAGAGATTATTTTTCAGTGAATTTTCTCTGGAAATCAACAAATGCTTTAAATTCAATGAAACTAAACTCAACTGTCAGTTTTTCTCCTTTAAGAATTAATATCAAGTTGCATTGTTAATTCCAGGAAACTTATTAAGAGACTGTTAGGAAAGTATTGACTATAGAGTAAAATTAAATGTCCTAAACTGTAGCTGTAGCGGACAGTAACTTGTTCATTTGTGTTAGAGATACTTTGTCATTCATTTGAATGATGGATTGACCATGAACAGAATTAGAAATCATCCACTTTGTACCACGAACGTAAAGAACGTTTAAAGAAAAAAAACATTCAACAGTAAGTCAAGATTTTCATCCCAAAACTGAAATAAAAAGATAATGTTTGACATTTCCTGTGAACGTCGTCTGCTTTTACACCATCCAGTACCGATAAGACATGATTTATCTTTTGTTTTGACGTATTCCTTCAGGAAAAACCTCCACGTAGATTAGTTTCCCGGTTCTCGGTTACAAAAACACTGAATCAGAGAATCAGACGTGCGGTTTGTTGGACTCACCTGTCGTGCCGTAGCGCTCTCATATCAACGAACACAGTCGTGGGGTCGGGTCCTGAGGTGCCCTGAGAGAAACCAACAACAACAGTTACCGCGGTGTCCTTTCCCTGCCACCGTACGCCTGCATGACAACCTCTACTGCTGCTACTTCTACTCCTACCGGGGGCGCAGTGGATGCTACTGATCGTGCATTAGTGCTCACAGAGACAAGCTTTCCCTTCACAGCAGAGGGAAAGTTCCCACAAAAACCACATTTCCAACATGGTGGGGAGGACAATGTGGGAGTGACAGCGGTGGGATGATTTTAGAAGGAAATCAGCAAAAACAAAAGATTCAAATCAATTTAAAAAAGCGCTCTAGAGTCAGATTCTACTTGATCGACATGCAAACAGAAAGTCACAATTAAACCGTTGTAGAGGGAAGAAAGGAGGGGGAAGTGACACCAGGCCAGGGAAAAAGAAAGATGGAAGAAAGGGGAGATGAGTGATTACATCTCTAGTGCCAACACCCTGAAATAGATGTAAAATCTATGAAAGATGATTTGTCCTGTCTATATGTCGAAGTCATATTTCTACTGTAATGTGAGTGAGAGGGAAGATTATGAGGGAAAAATTAAGGATAGAAAAAGAAAAGAGATAAAGACCCCTCCCCCCTCTCCTTCCGACCTCTCTCTCATCCTCCACCATCCCTCCATCCCCCCTTTTCTCTCTCAGAGGTGATTCAGGATTAAAAAAACCTTCACAGAGCCCACCACCGGACACACAGCGGCATGCTGGGAGTCAGAAGCCCACACCCAGAGCACAAGACGGCAGACAGCATCATCTCCACGAGGTAGCTTCTACTTTTAAACTCCACCAGGAGAAGAGTATTTATTGGCTGTTTGGAGCAACGGTGGAGACTTTGAGAAGTTTCTTTGGACAAATATTGAAACTTTTCTTTAGTTGTGACTCTGGATCTATCATAAGTGCCCGGTCACACCAGAAAGTAGCACCGTAACATTCATTTTCACATCCTTACTGGTGATTAGTGGATGTATTAAGGGAGACCTGGAGACAGCGTTAGAGGCGGGCTCTGTGGCGCATGAAGCCAAAAAACTACCCAGATTTTCTGCATCGTACGTCCCACAGAGCAACGGCACCAGAGACCTCCGCCAGCCGGGAGCTGCCCCCCCCCCCGGTTAAGCCCTCCAATAACTTAAATGGAGATAAAATTATTTCATCTTTCCAAATGTTACTGAACTGAATGGATTAAATTCCGATAGTGAAGCGAGTCATTCTTCTTTCGCATTGTTTTTTCGGCCAGTGTGCATCACGTGACGGATGCCATTGCTGTAATCCGTGTGATTGGCTCTTCCTGTAAGTTAGCAGTTTGATGTATGTCGACTCCTGTCCCAAAGTTTTCATGGAGCAGTTTATCCTCTGGCAGAGCGGGTTGTGTGAGATTAAAATGGTTTATGAAAACTTCCCAATGATGGACAGTATGTATCAGAACCAGACATCTTCTTTCTTACAGACATTGTTCTCTCCTGTCAAAACCTGGCGCCTACATTTTTTTGTCATAGATGCTGGTGTGACCGGGCCTCAACGTTTCCTCCTGTCGGCAAACACCTTTCAGCCCTAAAGGGAGTATTGGAAACTCAGAATCTACGTCTCCAGTGGAATAATCTACAGCCAGCTGATGAGTGATGTGCTGACAAGCAGTGGGGTGGAGGTGGTGGTGGTTGGGGGACGGGGGGGAGGGAGGGGATTGATGGTGGTTCCCTACCTGGTCGGCAAGCTTTCCCAGCCTGTGAGGCTACAGCAGCAAAGAGGGGGCGGAGGAGGAGGAGGAAGAGGTAAGGCGGAGGAGGGAGGGTGGAGACAAAACCAAGTATGAGATATGTGGGCGGGGTTATGATAAAACAAGGAAGGAGGAGGGAAGGAAGAAAAAATGTCAAAATGGAAAACTCAAAGAAACAAAACAAGCAGTCAGGACTGAAACTGTTAGTGGAGTCATTTAAAGCTGCTACAAACAGTTATTCAATATATATTATATATATTATTCAATATACTGGGTAATATTCTGTAATATTAGTGTATATTGACTCTGGTAAGTTATGAGCCATGCAGTTAGAAATCACCGTTGTGTACCAAGACATTGTACTGCTCATTAAATGATTCAATTATGTCACAAATCTCTAATAATATTTCATAATTCTTTATACAGGCTTGAATTAATTTACCATTAATATCGATTAAACAGTCAGCAATGTTTTAATTTAATAAAAACTTGGAAATAACTTTAACTGAATGATCTAGAGCCCGTCAGAAGATATCTTTTTATTCCTCTCCAAGTTTTTCTTGCTCTTTCTTGCTGACTTGGGGGAATAAACTGATTTGATCCACTTAAGGTTGCAAATCATATCTGAAATGTAAAGAGCAATGATCAGCTTGAGATGGAGGGATGAAACTGAATCCGAGAGACAAACGGAGAGCTCAATGCTTCGATGTTTGGATGAAAGACGGCAGAAGAGGAGAGTGACTACTGAGGATGTTATATCTCTGGAACTCGTCATGTAGTTACTCACAAACATATCGCTGTCGCTGGCTTTATACCCTGCATTTGCAAATCAATCTTACATTGACATCCATTTATTTCTTCAAAGCCACAAATCGGTTTCAAGTGATGTGAAAATCATTCAGCTGATCAACAACGCTGTAAACTCTCAACGCAGTGCAAAGCAATACGACAAAAACTGCAGTGACACTGTTTCTCCACTGCAGAGGTGATGAGCTAACGTGCTAACTGCAGGGTATGAGACCAGTTCTGGTCTGTGAACCTTAAGAAAGGCAGAACCGAGTCCATTGTCCCTGAAAGCACCAATTTAGCCGTCTGTTACTGTCTGTACATTCTGTTAACCTGCCTAAATAATGGCCTCACAACAGATACAAAATAATGACCTATTAATATAAAGAGTCTGAGATTTTAGGAAATAAAGTCCAGGACATGTTTAGCCTAGCTTAGCACAAGGACTGGAAGCAGGGGGGAACTGTTAGCCTCCATCAGAACAGAAAATGGACACCTTCCAACGGCTCTAAAACTCTAAATCAACACAACGCATCCAAAATGTGACAACAACTGTAACGTATTTATCCGATCAGACTGGGAACGTAATGGCTGGTTATTCTTTTACTAATGTTCTTTACATAGGGCGAAACGATTGTACAGACACAGCAACAAACATACCAATCTGTAAGAAAACTATTTGTCCATCCATGCTGTCTCCTTGTCTTATTTAGAGGGGTTAAATCCAACAGTTTTAGAGTTGTAGGAAGGTGTACTTTTTGGTTCGGATATCTAAGTTAGCCGTTAGCCTCCAATCGTTGTACTAAACAAGGCTCAACACATCCTGGACGTACTGTATGTCTGCACTGGAGGTGTGTGATGTCCACCTGACTCTGGATAAGAGAGCAAACTATTTCTCGCACCTTGTGGACAAAACTCCTAAAAGTAAATGAGTTTGTGATACATATTAACTGATTTGTTTTAAAGCTGGAGTACGTAACTTTTATAAAAAATAAATCATTCTTTGAATAAAAATCTGGTTCCTATCAGGTATAGTTAAAGTTTATAATATAAAATAATTAACTGTACTTTACCTTTGAGGCCAATAGACATTTATCAAAATACAAAATAGCTGCTGACAAAGAGCTCAACTTCAGCTAGCTTCTGCCATCAAACAAAACAAGCCGCCATGGTCAACATCAGCTGACGTGTCCCTGAGCAGGTTGTTTCTCTAATGTGAATCCACGACTTTAATAGTGAATCCAGCCACAATGTCACACCAAGAAATGTCCTCAAACTCTGCTGAAAAATGGAAGCAGAGACAACCAGGAAGAGGTGACGGTCTGACTGACCTGCAGGCAGATTGCCAGGTTGACCCTGCAGCCGAAGGAGGTGCTGACGGCTCGAGGGTGAAGTCCCAGGTCCTTGAAGAGCTTGGAGAAGGACTGCGTCAGGGATGTCCTGGGACGCTCCTCTGCTACAACCACACAGGTCCTCACCCGAGACAGATCCAACCCTCGAGACTGAACAGGACAAGAATGACCCAGAATGAGAAGTGGTATCTGACGTCCATTCCCTTGTTTCTGAACCACATCAGGTTCCAAGCGAACAATATAAATTCTCCTCGAAACAGAGCCCCCCCCCCCTTTACCTTCAGAGCGTCGGTCTGCAGGCCGAGGCCTTTGGTGCAGAGCTCCATGACGCTGTAGGAGCAGAAAGTGTCTCGGACTTTGTACTGACTGACGGCCGACAGCCAGAGAGCCGGGTTCACCTCCAGCTCGGACGGAGGGATCAGGATGGACTGGTGACCTGAGTACACACTGCAGAGGGAAACCAGAGAAAAGCTGTGAGCGCGGAGTCATTATGTCTTGGTTCCAAAACACCCTGCGGACAAAAGTATAGGGACTTTAAAGCTGTGTATCATGTTATATTCTAGGTAATGATTGTGATATTTATTTATAGTTCTTATTTTTATTATGTTCTTGTATTCTAGAAACCTTGTGCACGTCAAGTGCAAACTATTGTTGTATAAAAGATGGACATCGCGTCTCACCGTACAAAAATTAAGCCCAAATATCCTGGAGTCTGTACAGTAGAGTCAGACCCCCTTTTTATAGCCTCAAATAACTAAATAAAACCGAACCTGAACAAACATTAACATGAAGGAAACGTGATAAGAACTACCTTAAATGGCAGAGACCATCTTTGGGGAAAAATGCATTTGACGTGTACGTTGATTTCTTAGTTTGACCCCTGTGTTAACAGGGAGGCAACAGGCTTTAAGACCTTCACTGCCACTAGAGGGCGATTGAGATGTTTTGGCTTCACTTTTGGAGAACTGTCATGTCGTCCATCCTTATATACGACGATGGTGTAAACCTGTACAGCCTTCTAGGAAAGTACAGGAAACCTTTGAAGCATCTTCTAGTGTAACCTGATACACCACAGTGATTACAAACTCCACAACCAGTAGCCGTGTTTCCATCCAAATGTCGGCAAAATAAAATGAATGCTTGTTTCCATCCACCACCGTTATGTGATTATTATGCAAGTTGGTTCATCAAGAATTCTCGAGTTGGAAAACCGAACAAAATAACCCAAATAAAAGAGCGACTGTAAAACCTCTAACAGTGAAAAACAATGCAGAAAACAGGATGGAAATGTAATGTTTCTGTTTGTTTTGTGTATTAATGAGAGGAGATGAGGAGACTGTCGAAGAATTGGCTCTTTTTGGAAAGAGGAGATTTAACACTCATTAATGCTTTCTTCCATTTGTCTGACCTGCAAAGGCACCAGAGGACGAAGCCCAGGCCGCAGTACGGGTCCAGGCAGATGGCGACCTCTCTGGACGGGTAAAGCTCACACTGCAGCTTGATGGAGCGGCAGAAGGCACTGGTGGCTGTGTGTGACATCTAAAAAAGAAACACACACACACACAGGACACTCAGTAAAGGTGCAGCCAGTAATAAACGCGTTCAGAGATCTGTATTTCATGCAAGCAGTAAATCCATTTTCTTTGAACTACAGCTTCTAGAAACTAACGATCTTTTTAGGTTCCTAGAGTCAAACAAGTTCTCATTGGTCTGTGTACTTTTTCCTTTTCCAGTAATGAGAAACAGAAAATGTTTCACACACACAAACAAAACCTACTCAAGATCTCATGCCCTGCTGGAGCTAAAAACGATTAATTAACTCGAATATGTCCATAATATGTGATTAGCATAACAAAACTTGAAACAAATGAGGAGCCTCTGTGACCGCGTGAATTGACCGCCTTGTTTCCCTCACTGTGTTCTGGCACCGGCACTGCCCGCTGTAGCGTTAATACTCCCGCATTGACTGATTTGCTCATTAGGAACGGTGATTAAACATAATGGACAGGCAATAACCAGTACGTGAGAAAACATGCTGGCATTGTTTCCTCCTGCCCTGCTTCTCCTTTTTTGCTGATTAGTTTCCTAAAGCCTTAATTAACAAAGCTTTTGTGGGTTTCTTTTATTGTGACCAATGTAAAATGACGTGGCAACGGTCGCTGATGGTGTGAAAGTAATCAGAAGAAATATTTTGGTGTGATACAATGAGCAGAAATCCAGCTGGCTGTTTAACTAAGATATATTACATCAAACCTTGTTAAGCTGTTCAAAGGAGTAAGAAGTGAGTCCTACTGTCCTGTCGTGTAAAATGTAGCTGTGGGTAGTCAGCCGTGCACTGACTCACTGATTACTTCATCTCAGATCAGAACATCAAAGTTGGCGGAGAACAAGTTGTTTAAAAGCTGTTCACGTCTCAGGCTGCATTCCTGACAGTAACCCTGGGGCTTTCTGCTATGGCTTAAAAAGTACTCTGTCCAAGCATCCATTCATTAGCTCAGTGGTTCCCAACTTGGGGGTCAGGACCCCCACTATGGGCTGCCAAAGTTTCAAGGGAAGGGTCGCGGGGCCTTCTCGATTTTAAGGGATGTAAGAAAACTACAGCAGGCCGATATCTCAGCATTTTGATCATTTCTGTAAATGAAAATGTTGTTTTTAGAGTTAAAAGTCTTATTTAAGATCTATACTTTGGAGACATGAACACAAGCTACATTCACAGAGCACAGCGCTATCTGCTTATATGTTGGTCAAAAGCTAACAGTTGCAGTTAGTGATTTAGAAAGTAGTGCCACTACGTAGAGTTTGTTTATGTCATATGTTAAAGGACTACTGTGTAGGGTTTAGTGCCATCTAGTGGTGAGAATGCAGATTGCACCAACTGCAATCAACCGAGTACAAAGCAGAAGCGAGTAAAACTCGCAAAAAACTCAACAGGCCCAATCATGCGCTAGTGTTTGTTCTGGGCTCCTGCACAAAAATGGCAGTTCAACATGGATCCCTCCGTAGAAGAGGACCCACTTCCTCTGTAGATATAAACAGCTCATTCTCAGGTAATGAAAACACTATATATATATATATATAGATCCTCCTAAATGTTACACACTGGACCTTTAAGTGAAGACAATGTATCATCTGGGCTGTAGTTTCTAGAGTTAAACATTGAATTTCTCCATCTTGATAAAGGCTGTTGGACAGAGACAACGATGGAGAAACATCCAGGACTAGTCTGATTCTGTTTACGTTTCAGGGATTTACACAGTGGTCTCACCCTGAATGACTTACAATGACAGAAACTAATGAATGAATTAATCTCAATTCCAATATAAAAAGACTAGTCGAAGGTCGGAGCTGATTTAACCCGACAGGAGATTAACTAATAATCCTGTTTCCCCCCGTGTGTAATAGAGAAAGTCATATTTTAACATTGGCTGAAATGTGCAGCCTCGTCTCCGTTGGAAAAGATTTCATCCACAATTATCTTCTCTGATGTACACCGTTATCTCTGGAGACCGATAAAATGTCCTGAGTCAGGACCCATATCTGGTGTAATCTGTTAAATCAGGGTCCAACTAATAGAGCAAACTCAGTGGTCCCATTTCATTTAAATGTGGGGAATATTGCCTTCAGTTAATTTTCTGTCTGGGTTTTATTATTTTATCAACTGTGTGTCAATCTTGTGTAATTTGTAATTCCAGCAATCCTTTTAAGAGAATTTTACACAGCTGGTATCTCCCCCAATAACAAAACCTTTCAATTATACATTCAAAACGTGCCTACAAAATAATTTCTTCTACTGATTGTGTGTCTGTTTATTGTCTGGAAACTGATGAGTCTTCTTTATCTATCTGCTCTCTGTTGAGAAACAAAAGGCTTCAACATGGATGGATTAGAGACCAAACAAGAAAAGGTCTTGTTTAATGGATTCAAACACACACACACCTTTGCAGCAGATGAATAGAGGCACAGAAACAATGAGTTGAGTACAGGATGCAGGTTTGTTTTGCTGCAGCAGGAATCAATAGGCGCTTTAATCTTTAAAATGTCACCGCCATCTATCTACACACCTCCAACAGTCCGGGCTGCACAGTGGAGCTCATATTGTTGAATGAACAACAAGTGAGCGTCTCCTGGGCCATAAATACAGTGTTATACCTTCCAAATTCTGACCTTTAATCAGCGTTAATCAAGCAATCAATCCGTCTTAATGCTTCAAATGTCAAAACATAAATGGGCTGATGTCGTCAAGATCAGACCCGATGTGACATTTTACTTACAATGTGGAGCCCCTAACTGTCCAATCAGTGTCATTTTAAAAACAAGACAATGTTTGTAGTGATGCTACCTGATGCTTATGTTCTCTACACACCCAAAAAATAAATTTAATAGTGAGGCAAAAAAAGTTAAGTAATAGCCATGTTGTTGAGTTATTTGTGCTAAATATTCACGTTACACTTAAAGTACCAGTAGTGTGTGTGTGTGTGTGTGTGTGTTTACCTTGACTCCAGCCAGCATGCCAGTGGTGGAGACACTGAAGTCCAGGTAGGCCAGGGTGTCGGGGTTGGACGGTTTATACAGCAGAGGAGGTTTCTTCTTTGGCAAATCGTCTAAAGAAGAAAATCAATCCGGTTCCATCAGAGCTGCTTTAATATACAGAACCTGAAGCACACAGCCAACTACAATCTGTCAGGACCACTTCTTTTTACATTTACCGGTAATTTAACTTATTTTTTCACTGTATTGCCTATTGTTGGTTCTCATTGTTAGGGCATAGATTACCTGTCTATTAAACTTGAGCTTCACCAGTTTAAGTGGTGGGATTCAGACGACAATAACATGTCTTTGTATAGTCTCTAAAAGTAGAACAGGAGCCAGAGCCTTCAGTTACCAAGCTCCTCTCCTGTGGAACCAGCTTCCATTTGTGGTTCAGGAGGCAGACACCCTCTCCACATTCAAGAGTAGGCTTAAGACATTCCTCTTTGATAAAGCTTATAGTTAGGGCTGGATCAGGTGAGTCCTGAACCATCCCTTAGTTATGCTGCTATAGGCCCAGACTATCGGGGGATTTCCCATGGTGCACTGAGCTCCTCCCTTCCTCTCTCTGCACTCATTCATGTCCCATTAATGTATGTTACTAACTTCACTTCTTCCCCGGAGTTCTTGTGCTTTCTCGTCTCGCAGGTTCTCATGGATCCTGGTGGAGCCTCCTGCCATGGTCCTGCTAGATTGCCATTGCCAATACTGTTGTTACTGTGCACCTGTCTGTCTGTCTCTCGCTCTCTCTCTCTCTCCCTCTCTCTCTCTCTCTCTCTCTCTCTCTCTCACCCCAACTGGTCGAGACAGACGACCACCCACCTAGAGCCGGAGGATCTGTCCTAGGTTTCTGCCTTTTAACAGGCAGTTTTTCCTTGCCCTTGTCGCCAAGTGCTTGCTCATGGTGGTACTGTTGGGTCTCTGTAAATAATGTTATAAAGAGTTCGGTCTAGACCTACTCTATTTGAAAAGTGTCCTGAGATAACTTCTGTTATGAATTGGCGCTATACAAATAAAATTGAATTGAAATTGAATTGAATTGAATCTGTGTGAGAACCTGTGTGTGTGTGCGTGTGTGTACCTGTGTCCAGTACGGGAGGCCAGGTCCGGACGTCCACGGCAGCCGAGGCTTCCTTCGACCTCAGCAGTTTACAGATGAGCTGCGTGGTCATCACGCACACCGAGCGGCTCACCTGCAGGACAGAGCACAGACAACCTGAACCCAATCCAACGCATCGGCAGGTAACCAATGAAAGAATCACCACGTCACAGGAAGTCCTGTGTTATCCAACAGTGTGGAAGAGTGAGCATCAACCCGCTGAAACAAAAAACCTCAACTACTTGTGAGATTTATAGTGAAGAAAGTGCAGCTCTGACCTCGTACATCGCCTCCTGCCAGCTCCTCGTTATTCACAAACTCTCATGCATTCATTCACTTATTTTTCCAGACCGCTGGCTAGTTTCCCGGCTTCTGCGAGCTGTCGAATCCTTTGCCCTTTCACTCCATCTTTCTTTGGTTTTCTCTCCATCTTTTTCTTTTTTTTAATTTATGAGTTGAGCAACTTCTATTTGTTTCTACAAGGCAGGATCCTCTGAGTGGTGAAAGCGAGGTTATATTGCCGCAAGTATTCTACTAAAAAAGGATCCAAGTTGAGTTTTAGTGAAATAAAGATCAGCATGTTAGCATCAACAAACTCTTATTTGTTTATTTTACCTACATAAATCACATTCCCTCAACTTATTTTCACTCCATATGTTTCTCCTGGTCTTTCATCCTGCACTGTAAAAAAAGGAATCTCAAGAAAGTAAAAGAGTCTTATTTCTGGGAAATTAGTCTTATTTTTTGTCTAAGAAGAAAAATAACCTTATCAAGCAGGGTTTGCATCAGAAAAGTAATCTGGTTTTAAGAAAATATATCTAACTTTGTAACTTTCTAACCAGTAACAAGTCACAACAATGGTTTGCATAATATCCCAGCAGAGGAACAAGATTATCTTGCTTATTTTCAGAATAAGAGCACTCACACAACTTCTCAGTTTAAGAGAAAGTCGTCTGGTCCCAGTGTTGGAAATGAAGCAGCTGTTTAGTTTATCATTGTTTTCATATAAAATGCTAAATTAAGAATGTTTCTGGTTCCTTCATTTAAGACAAAGTCACTTATTTTTTATTATGCTGGTTGAAGATCTTAAATTAAAGTACAAATTCAGCTCAATAAAGTGACCAAAATACTTATTTTAAGACTGATACAATACTGAAATAACATTTGAGTTTTCATTGCTTCTAATAATGAGTTGCTTGAGTTTTCAGGCTCATTACAGTCTTTCAATAGAAAGGTCTTTATGTTAGTTTTAAGAGTTTTAAAAACTGTCTTACTCCATTGGCTGATTTGTTTTTGCTCAATAAAGGAACAGTGGATTATATTTAAGGTGATTGGAGACTTACGTTTGGTTACTGTTTCTTCTAAACCTTTTCTTAGTGAATCTAAGAGTGTTACTGGTACACTATTAGAATAAAACATCATCAAAGTGTTTTTACCTCCACGATCATCTTGACGGTGGGCAGCGTGGTGGCGATGTTCTGCGGGTGAGGCGGTCGCACCGTGATCGGTACGCAGCCGGCGTAAAGACAGCCGTAAAACGCCACGATGAGGTCGATACCTAGAGGAGGGGGGAGGGAGGATGAGGAGGGAGACAGGGGTAAAGAAAGGAAGAGGAGGAAGGAGAAAAGTGGACGAGGATGGAGAGGAAGGGAGAAGGGACGGATGAGAAGAGAGGGGAAAAAGAGAGATGGATATGAAGGGATAGATGAAGAGGAGAAGGGAGAGACACAAGCAAGGGAAGAAGGAGGAGGGAGATATGGGAAGGAGGGATGTAAGGGAGGGAAATAAAGGACAGAATATGGAGAAGGGGAAAGGAGGGATGAAAAGGGCAGAGGGCAGGGAAGAAGAGAGGAGGATTTGGAGAAAAGAAACAGTCACACACACTGACAGAGGTGAGGAGGTGAAGTATTGAGCGGCGGACTCTGGAGGCGATTAATTGAACGCCGCTTTAAGACAATCTCCTCGTGTCGGGGAATTCGTCTTGCATGGCCGCGTCCGTCCTGCTGTGATGGACACGAGGCTCCGCGTCTCGGAGGGAAATTACAATTCTTTCCCTTAATTTTCCCCGCGGCGCTCTCTTCGATCTGACCGCCAGACAGACCCGCACTCAATGTCTTTGTCGTGTCCTTCCTCATTTAAAAACATCTACAGTTTGTCCTTGTTTACAAGTTAAGGCGAGACACTACCGGCAGAAACATTGGGGGGTTTTATGAACTAGTATATTTCAGATTCTGGGCCGTTTTGCTTCGGTCTTTTTACAGACTAGTGGAAAGAAAACTCCCAAAATACACATTGGTACCAACCATGTCATATTAGCATGGAAGACCTAGCTTTAATCAATCAAAAGGGATCCCTTGACCTCTGACCTCAAGATATCTGAATGAAAATGGGTTCTATGGGTACCCACGAGTCCCCCTTATGCAGACATGCCCACTTTATGCTAATCTTGTGCAGTTTTTGGGCAAAAACATGCAGTTTATTTCTTTTTTGTGTATTGTGTATTTGAATATTTCTGCATACTGAGGTCCATAAACAGTGTTGGAATTGCATTAATTGGGAATAACTGGGAAAACTGAGACACACACTTCATGCCACCCCTGCACAAATCAACATGCAAACCACCAGGACAGTGAGCCGCAGCTTCGTACTGATCTGTAATCAGTGTTTACCTGGAGGGTAGACCAGCGCGACGTGGTCTCCGTCCTGTAGGTGGCCCCGTTCGCCCAGCATGCCGGCGATTTTCTCCGCCCTCTTATGCAGCTGAACACAAGTCAGAGAGCTGGCTATCGTACCCTGGAGGAGGTCACACACACACACACACACACACACACACACACACACACACACACACACACACACACACACACACACACACACACACACACACAGAAAAGAGAGAGAAAGATGATTGACACATTCAATCAGCAGTGTGTATCAGAAGATGTCATGTCATATTTTCCGTTGCAGCATCTCAACAGCTGTAAACAAACCGGTGGATCTTATTGCCATTATGCAAACTAACAGCACCGTCACACAGAGACAATTCACACTCAATCTCATATACAAACCGCAGCATAATAATAATAATAATAATAATAATAATAATAATAATAACACCTTTACTTTGTCATTCCCGAGAGGCTGTAAAACATTCTTTCATATGAACGAGTTAATGAATAAATGTGCCATAAATCATTATTTGTCTGTCTTTAGCACCTTTTCAGGCCACTGTAGGTTCTCCCAGGAGGGCCCAAAGCTTTTCCCTGTAAGGGCTAAAACTGTTACTTAATGGTGGGCCACGGACCAAAAGGAAACACCTGTTGTATTGTTAAGATGCAGAATGGTACACTGTAAAACCAGATAATTTAACTGAACTAAACTGTTGAAACTGATTACATCGGACATTTTAAGTAAAACTAGCTTCATTTTGTAGGTTAAAAAAAACATTGTTGTAGTAGCTTTAGTCATTTTAAGTGACAGGGATCAAGAATCTTTAACTTTTTGAAAAGTAGTAGTTTTTGTGACTGTGAAGTTTTCTGAGTTAAAATAACTTACAGTACATTACAGTGTACTAGGATCCTGAATTCACTCCCTGTCTTCCATTCTCACATTATGAGATTCTACATAATTAAAGAGCAAAAAACTAAAAGATAAAAAATTAAAAGAATAAGATTTATTTTTCGCTAGAAGCACCTGACGGGCCCTCGTTGACACACGTTGGGCAGCCTTGTCCAAAACTCTTCGAAGGGTATTCAGTTGCAATCTGCAGCCATCAATATATTAATGAATTCAATAAAGAATTTCTGATTCTGATTCTAATATATGTGTGTGTGTGTGTGTGTGTGTGTGTGTGTGTGTGTGTGTGTGTGTGTGTGTGTGTGTGTGTGTTACCCTGGAGTTGAGCAGTGTGTACAGGACGTGGTCTGGAGTGGTCTGGGCTCTCCACTGTAATACCTCTGACAGGAAGAGGAACTGAAAGCACAAACAAATACGGGAACAGTGAGACTGGATGACAACACAAAAACACACACATATTCACAAATCAACACACACACACACACACACAATCATAGAAATCAGCAAGAACAACTTCCCTTTTTTTCCACATATTGTAAATAGATATATCAAATCAATTTGAATTCATTAATAAAATGTTGCCATGCTCACAAGAGGCGGCGGTACACGATAAGAAATAAGGGTACTCAGGTGGACAAAAATTTGACTTCTGGTATTCAGTACAGGTGAGTTACAGATGCTCCTACCTGGAATTTATAAACATGCAACCAGTAGAATAAATATAAATTCAACCTTTCTGAGCATTGTGAGATAGTGAAACTCTCAATTATCCAACCAAAAAAAAAGACTTTTACTGCTGTTAAGTAATGTAATTCATATTTAATGAGTAATATGTAATGTGTAAATGATTATGTTTTTCCAACACAAATTATAAAATGGCCTTTTTCTTTTACAGCTCACTCACAAAATGTGCATCATTTCTCAGAAACGCAGCTGCAGATTCGCTCGTTCTGAGCCTCAATAATGATGAAAAACACTGTTGGCTCAAAATATTTGAAGGTTTTGGAGCTTTGTTGCGATTCTGACAGTGAATACTGATGGAGCGCACTCATAAATTGAAATTTTGGCAGCTTGCAGCGTGTTGGAGTGTTAGTGGGTGCACTTAATTTGGAAGAGATAGAAGGGAGGAAAACGTTAATATGGATGGAGGCAGGAGAGCGGGGTAAGGTAACAAGGATTCCTGCTTTATAGCAGCAAAGACAAGAAAAGCGAGAGATGGAAATTAGAGATGGGAGGAGAGAACAAATCGAGAGAGAGAGAGAGAGAGAGAGAGAGAGAGAGAGAGAGAGGTTTGTTTCTGGCCTCATGAATTTTTCAAGATTTGCTGCCGAGTGCTGAACCTCAGGGAGTGTAATTCACCATACGTTTTATTTGTGTGTGGGTGTGTGTGTGTGTGTGTGTGTGTGTGTGTGTGTGTGTGTGTGTGTGTGTGTGTGTGTGTGTGTGTGTGCGCGCTGCCATTGGTGATGAGGATTTACCCGCCAACCACAAACCAAACGGTCCTGCGCTCTGTGCCACGCCGCGTTCGTCACATCTGGGAGGACTCTGGGCGCGCTTGATTTGTGATGCACATTCTCAGAGACTGTTCTGGTGTGAATTATTGTGTTGGAAGAGCTCTTATGTGAACTGCTTGTTCCTCCAGCTGACAGAAAGGTTTTTCTATTTCACATTCATGCAGTTGCTGAACAAATAGCGGGTGAAAGTGATGGCTGAGACTTCGATCTGGCTGTCTGATATTTGTAGAACTTGATGGTTTGGTGGTAACGTCTGAGTCAACCATACAAACAGCAATGATGGGACACTGGGAACAATTAAACTGTTTTATGGGTCGTCTGTTCAGGATGTTTAACTCTTTATTGGTACTTATATCAAAAGACTCACAATGTCTTCCTGCTTTCGAGTAAAAGAACTTCAGAATTAAGAGAAAATAACTTAAAGCTAGAAGTTCTGTCTTTGTTAAAAACCTTCAAATTAAAATTCATATTCAGACAATAATGTCAGTAAACTGTATTGCCACATTAGTTTTAGGGAGTAATACAGAGGTATTGAGTACTATGTGATCAGGCTTGAGGGAGTAACAGATTATATGTTACCTGATCAGGATAAAATATCTGATTATGTAATGGATACAGTTACAGAAAAAAGACGTAATCAGATTGCAGTTACATCCAGTAAAAATGGGGAACAATTGTCTTAAACAATACTTAAAAGTCATCTTATTGATATTTCTTTTCTCTCTTTATTTGCATATTTGGTGTTGAGGTAAAGTAACGGAAACTAATCCAGTTACTTTAATATTGTGATACTTGGATACATTTCTATCAGAGTACATTTCTATCAGAGTACATTTTTAAATTAAAACTACCAACCGTGTATGGGATTTATTACTTTTTTTTAGTAATGACCCTAAAACTGACTGTTGTTAGCAAACTGTGGCTTCTTCACCCATCCAGGAGTCATGTTTGTGTCATCTGATGGCTGAAAGTTCAATATTCACTCTTCTTTTAACTCTGTTTTTGTCTCCACCGACTCTTTAGCTGCTGAATCTCCCACTTCCTTCATCAGTTAGTCTCTAACTGTGTCTGTCTGGTGTTTGGTGCTGAACAGGCAGCGTACGGTGGATTCATTGTGCTGAATGAAGCTGATTCCTGCTGCTGAAAGTGAGTTTATCTAAAATAGAATAAATGTGGATTCGTCACAACGAGGTAAACCTTTCACATTAATAGTCATTTGACTCACTGTTAATATAAAAGTATCCATTATATGGACAGACATTCCAACTCTGACTGCTCCATTAAGGAAGAAGTCTAAAGGATAAAAAGTAAAGTCCATATTTTGCCTCTGATTTGTGTGTTTTATATTGAGTGAGCTGCCACAAAGACTAAAGCTGATTGTTAATTTACAGTGAGTGATTCTGTTGTACAGGAACTCTTTAAGTTGTGTATATAACCTCCAGTGTTCTGCTGAAAACATCACTCAGCTCCTCCTCGGCCAGAGTTTCATGTTTCACTGTTTAAAATAAAAAAGAGGTTTGGCTGACGAAACGTTCTCTCATCCACTCACAACCAGCTTCATGCATCGCAAATCTCTCGAGGTTAAAAGATTTAAAGAAGGTTTTTCTCCCCCGATGAAAACATCACTCAGCTGCTTCTCGGCTCGACTCTTGAGCTTTCATAAAACTTTCATAACAGCAAATTAAAGTCTACTTCCTTTCCAGTTCCCTCAGTTTCCTGCCGCATACATTAACATCTACTGTCTGGAGGAGGTTTTTATCCCGAATGCACTAAAGCAACATGACAGCGCACATAGAAAGCAGCAGCCCCAACAATGTCGATGCCTTTATCCTGACTGCAGAACGTGTGAATGTCCTGTACTCATATTTCTCCCTTCTACTCAAACTCAAAGTTCTTTAACACTACATGCCACATTCATACAGTGATGGCAATTTGGGGTTCAGTATTTTGCTCAAGGATACTTCGACATGCAGCGGGAGGAGCCAGGGATCGAACCACCAACCTTGTGATTAGTAGACGACCTGACTCCTGAGCCGCAGACGATCGTGTTACACAATCAGTCAAAACTTTCCACTAATCCAGAACCTTCGTCAAAACTACTATAATTTCAATGTTGGTAAAAAGTGAAACTTAAATCTCACACAATGAACTAAACTAAACAATATCAACAGTCTATTGTCTTAAAGTCACAGATAGTAACTCAGTACAGCGAGATTTGGCATTTATCAGCTTACCTGAGTCACCACCTACACACCTTTCAGTGTTACATCTTGTCAGACTCACTTTGGCTCAAATATTTTAGCCGTCACTAACTCACTAACGCTCAAACAGGGACTTTGCTGTGATTTAGTGTTTAAGAATAACATTATATTGTGAATCAAGGTCTTATAACCTTTACAAATACTGTAAAAAAACTCATAATTTCAAAGCAACTGTCTCATAAAATGTTTAAGTTTGAAGGTTTTGCAGACCTGTGATCTTTTGTTGAGGTAATTTACTTTTATTTAAAAACCCTTGCATCAAATACAGTAAATCTGATCCCTGCCAGAAAAGACTAGTTTCAGATTCTACTTTCACCAAAAGCATGTTACCAAAATACTTGTATGATGACATTAAACTGTTTGTTGTGATTTAAACCCAGTAACTGCTAAATATACCAAAACCAAAACAACTTTTTCAGACTCATACTTGTAACCATCCAAAGGACCAAATGTAGTAATGCATGTAATACTTGTGACCCCTGGTTAAACTTGCAGAGCTCGGCCGAAGCCCGAGATAAAACAAACTGGAACTTGCCTGCAGATAAAGCTCATGTTATCTCTCTGAGAGAGGACTGGCATGCTAAACGCCAACACAAAGAGCCTCTGTCTGCTCTGTGTGAGTGTTGTTCTTGTTAAATTCCAGGCAACAGATCGAAATCTGGTCTCATACAGTCGACTTTTACTCAGTTTGCGAGTGTTGGTGTTGAATTCTCGAGTTAATGCACTGACGTCTGCAGCTCAGTTGTATCTGATGTCATTATCAGACGTCACAATCTTTTCACTGAAACTCAACACAGCGACCACCTGGCGGGTATCCCCTCGCAGTTATTTAGAAACTGATAACCGGGGACCAGTTTGATATTTACAGAACAGCAATTGCAAATTCCAAGTTTGGAAATGGGAAGCAACCAACGACGCTGCGGTGAGTGTTTGTCCAACAGGTTGTAGGAAGAGTTCAGCTAGATGAGTGGGGACGACAGTTCTGACGTAGGGAATTATCTCTAACCACTCAGGTGTGTTTGCATTCTGATCTACGTTAATTTGTGTCAATGTGAGTTTGAAATATATCTTTCATATAGTTAAACGTTGGTAGAAGCTCTCGTTCTTTAACCAGGGACAAAAAAACAATTCAAGCAAGAATCGTGATTCTTCTGGTTCTGAATTAATCTCCAATTCCGGGAAATAATTCTTGATTGTTAATAATGTCATAGATCACCCTCCCTATATGTAACATAAAACAGTTGTTTTTTCCAACTGTAGCAGGATGCTGCTTTATTTATAACAGCAATAAGTAAACAGTAATTTTCCATTTTAACAACTACTGTGGAAATGCTCATGAGAAACTGCAGAGTGTTTAACAGAGTCAGTGTGTAGCAGCACAAGGCTCAGTCAACCTTCCCTGGATAAATAAATGTTATCACAAGAGAAATCTGAGAGGACATTGAAAGTAAATCACATTTCACTCTATAAGATTACATTGATACACACACACACACACACACACACACACACACACACACACACACACACACACACACACACACACACACACACACACACACACACACAAACACACACACACGCACACACACACATACACACAGAACATTTCAATAAACGCAGGAACAATTGCAAAAGCAAGAGGAGCTCATTCACACAGAGGGCTTGGTTTTCAGAGGGATGGACACGGAGGAGGAAGGTGGGGGTTCCTCACAGATGTGGAGCAAGTGGTAAACAGATAGATGAAGGAATGAATCAATAAGCTCGGGGACATATTGATGATAAGAGGCAGCAGCAGGAGCCAGAAGCACAGAGAGAGCGAGCAGGAGTATCTCCCTCCTATAAAACCTCGTTAACATTCAGCAGACGTGGAGGCAGATTAAAGTATTTTTCACATAAAACCCCCAAATCATACATTTCATTTTGAATGAAGCTTAAAATTCTGACCTCGTGAAACATAACAGCGTCGACCTCGCCTGCCAGACGAATTAAACCAAACTCACAATCATTCCCAAAATCACAAGCTCATTGTGCGGGAACACTGACCGGCTGCTTCATCTGCTGAGAAAAAGTTGCCAAAGTGGATGAAACCGTTATATTAACAAAGCAGAGCAAACATGTCGCTCTGCGCAAATGATGCCATCCACGTCTGAGCTAATCGCTACCATTATGATCATCCCGCTTCGACTTCATTATGGCGTGAAGCCTCAGGACTATTAGTTTTCATTTCAGCTGAATTTTGCAAATGGCAGAGCAGATTTGTCTAAATCTAATTAGATGCAACAATGCCTCCAAACCAGCGATACTGAGGCTTTTTCCGAGATTTCTCCGCAGTTTCTTTAATCTTAAAACTGCTTTTACATGACGAGAGGAATGGTTTCATTCACAGGCGACTGGTGTCCTCGTGTTTTAAAGACTCCTGCATTGATCCAAAGGTCAACTTTTGAGGTAAATAGACCGACCTTTCTCCATCAACATCTCATCAAAGCGAGCCTGAGGATCTACCTTTTGATGGATGTTAATAAGAGATAAGATAATGTACTGCACGGCGTTTAAATCAGCAGCTGTGTGTGGGGTTTGGCTGGAAGGGAAATCAGGCATATAATGTTTTGGGTTCAACTTAGGACAGAGCTGGGCTAGCTGTTTCCAGTCTTTGTGCTAAGCTAAGCTACCTGGCTACCAGCTGTAGCTTCATATTTAACAGAGAGATATGAGCGAGGTAGTCTCGTGATACCAGACGATTGGAGATCTCAGCAGCTACCGATCGTCTGGAGAAAGTAGTAGCAAACATAAGGAAAAATTGACATCCCAACCTCAGATGGTGCGACAGTGTTTACTTTGGGCTGGTTCTGCAATGCAGGTTGTTTTTTTTAAATTCTCTAATTGCTTCCACCTAGATTTAACAACAAAAGCTGAGAGATTATCTTCAGTCTCCATTGAGCGAAGTGTTTTGATTGATTGACTCAATGGAAAAGATAAAAAGTGTATTTCCCAACTTCTTGAAATGTTAAATTCGAGGCAAGAATACCTTTAACCACTTTATAAAACAGACGAGGAGACATATTGTGTCAGATATTACGTTTGCCAAAGAACGAATTTGAGTTGAGTAGGCAGGAGAAAACAGCAGAAAACAAAGTTCATCAACATCTGTTTGGTGACATCCAAACCAACTGCCAGACGAGCAGCATGTTGCTGAGGCTGATGACACGGGCTCCCAGCGTGCTGCGGTGGAGGTGGCGGTTGTTATTATTTGGGGCCTGTCTCTTCTCGTTAGAGGTTACAGAGCGTGTGCAGCCGCCGGCTGCCTGACGCTGTAACTGATGACATTTTCAGCGCGAGGGAAGAGAAGAAAATCAGTTCTGTCAGTAACACACACTGCCTGTTCCTCTCGATCACTTCTGCTCTCGCCTTTTGTCGTCTCTCTACTTAAATTATTCTTTGTTGTCTTCTTTCTGTTCTGTGTTTTCTCTTTATTTTTCATTGTCTCTTGTGAACAGGCGCTCTCTTGTTCTTTATGTTGGATTTTTCTGGCTCTTAATGACCTCCGTTTCTTACATTCAGTCTTGTTCTCTGGCTGTGTGTTTTTGTTTCTCCGCTGACTTCCCTCTCCTGTCTTACTCTGCTTTTATTGGCACAGATACGATGTGAGCAGCGCTGCCAAAGCATCTTAACACCCTCCCTTCTTTCTCTAACTTTTGTTGCCATCACCCACTGGCAACAAACTTCCTTTTTGCTTCATTAACTGCTTTTTAATGTTGAGTCATAGTGGGAAAAAAACTTAAAAGGGGCCTTTTCTGTTATGTATTCTTCGTCTGAGACTCCACTGAAGTGGCTTTGCATGATTCACTCTTCCAAAACATCCTTATTTACCTTACACTGGCCCTTCATGCAGCCATAATATGTCCCCTTTAAGGAAGAAGGCCACTCTCCGATAGAAAACCATTAAATCTGTATTTAACTTGATTTTCCAGGAAAAAGGTGATGAATCAAAGCAACACAAAAAATGTTTTGCTGCTTCAAACGATGATGCAATGATATGATGAAGGTTTTTAAGAAATTAATATGTGAAATGTAAATTGAAGGCCAATTAAATGAAACTGTGACCGCAAATAAACCACGACAACATGAAGAAATGGACCCAAAGGCCTCATTATATATATATATATCTGTCTATATAAAGATATATATATAGATATATATATAGATATAGATATATATCTATATATATATAGATATATATGTGTGGTGATGATGATGATGATGATGATGATGATGATGATGATGAAAACCAGCAGCCCCCCCTCTCACACACACCTTCCTTGCCTGGTCATTGTCTTCGATCTGACCCAGATCCCTGCCGCTGGCCTGAGCGATCCTCTTCCCCGACACCAGATTCCCGACCATCACAGACGCAGGGCCGATCTCTGAGGAAGAGGAGGAAGACAACATGATAAAGAGGAGGGGAGGACAGGAATGAAGACTCCACCCCATCTACCACCACACCGTCACATACCTGGCTGCTTCTGCCGGGGTTTGGGCAGGTTGGTGACGCAGGTGTGCGGACACATGAGCACGTTGCAGGGGTGCAGCGCCCCCTCCAGGAACAGCTGCTTGGTCTCTGACAGGTGGATGCCACCCAGGGGAGTCTTGGGCAGAGTGTTGGAGGGCACCAGAGCCAGGCAGTACACCCCCACCTGGTGGATACCGTCTATCGCCTGGAGAGACAAAATGTGTTAGAAAAACACTTAATAGATGAAAACTGATGTTGTAGGTTTCATCCTGGTTTTTCAAACAGTCTGATCCAGATTGTACAAGATCAGGATAACAGAATCTAGATTTACAGTCTTTGGACAGACGTCCAACTGTTGGTAATAAAAATCATTTCAGTGTAAATCATTATTCACTTATCTACATTATTGTTTAAAAATGTTTAGTTTTTATTAGTTTCAGTCTTTGTTTTAGGATTTTTTAACAAGTATGTGGTGTATTTGTCAGGGGCAAGATTTAAGTACATATTATATTACAATACGGACACACTGACTCACAGTCTTGTAGACATCCTGGTCTCAATAAACATATGCACCAACGCCTCCACATGCAAATCTGACCAAATTGAAAAAATTTTTCTTTTTTTTTTTTTTTTTTTTATTTTTTTCTTTTCAATTCAATTTAATTCAATTTTACAAAGACTAAACACTTTTCAAATAGAGCAGGTCTAGACCGAACCTTTAAAACATTATTTACAGAGACCCAACAGTATATATAGTATAGTATATAGTATATATAGTTCTGTAGTTTTAATTTCTATTTCAGTTAACAACACCTAGTTTTAGTCTTTAGTTTAGTGGTAATCCTGGATCAACACCTAATTTAAATACAGAATAAATTTGATGCCTATCAGGATCACATCCTGTTCCGAAATACCCAAATCTGAGATTTAATCCTATCCGGATAATTCTGATCTAGATTAAAGGTTTTGAAATGCTGGGCCCATTATAAACTAATGAAAACATACTATAATGTTACACACTGGACCTTTATTATGATGTGAATACCTGTTGAATACAGAGGTTGTGGTAAATTATGTGAAGGATTTATTAGACAACAGCCTTATATTTTACACATTTATTAAAATTATTAAAGTTGAATAAAATCCGATCAAAGCTAATGAACTGCAAAGTGAAATTATCTTTAAAATTAAAATTACTGCCAACATCATTTTAATTAGTATTATATTAACATCTGACACCTGATATAAAGCAATAAGTCTTAAACATCACATATAAATGTAATGAAGGATGTTTAAGCTCAACATCCCCGAGGGCTCATCGCACACGTCTTCCCTCAGTGCCGTCACATAATGTTACATCACATCCTGTCATCCCAGCCTCCATCTAAACTGCTGACTGTGTCTATAAGCAGAGCAGCTGAGTGGAAAAACAGCCAGGCAGTATCTGTGATGGTAGAGTGAATAAAGAGATCTGGTTTTATTGCAGCTGTAAAAATGCAGACGGCTTTTATGGTTTCACCGCAGACTCCACGCCGGCTTAGAGAGATCTGGAGTTCAGACTGAGATTTTATCTGTTTGTGCACAGTATGAACGTACAGCACGGTGACACACAGTGTGTGTGTGTGTGTGTGTGTGTGTGTGTGTGAACCAAAGAGACAGAAATGTGGTGCGAAGAATGTGTGCGAGCTGTTCTGTGTCTTTTTGAGGTGGCCTGCTATAATGCGTTTGTCTGGCGTGTGTCCTGAGTGTGACAGTCTTTCCTGAGCTGGTTCGTGTTAAAGGATCAGTCTGGTGTTATTCAATAGTTTTCTTATTGTCAGCGAATCCCACGAAAAGACCAAAAACCAACAACGTGTTACTACGTCTCTCGTTACTTTCCAACCTCTCAGCGTTGTCTGTGTCTGTCAGTAATGTCCTGAGACAACTGCTAACAAACAGGGGAAAAAGTACATTGGCTGGGGGACTATTTTCAGGGGTGGATTAATCCACATTCGGTGCTGTAGGGAGTATTTGGGGCAGCAGGACGGTGTGTGTTCATGGTGATGAAGGAACAGTGCGACAGTGTGGCTCATTGATGTGTTTTTAATAGTTTTTGAACAACAATGGAGCTCGACGGCACAGAGGAAGAAGATATATCAGGCTTTGATACAAACACAATACTTTAGTTGGTAGATACAGGTCATTGTTGGTTTGGGTCTTTTCAGGGGATTTATTGACAATGAGAGACAAACAGAGAAAATCACCCGATCGGACATGTGATTAAATCTGGAGCTGCTGATGGAGGTAGGTGAGCAGTGAGCTTTCTCGCTTCCTTCTTCTGTCTGTTGAGATTTGCACGTGCTCAGTACCGATCATACAATACAATTATCCCGGAAACAAGAGTTCGGTCTAGCCCGGTTTGCTGCAAGTTTGAGAGCAAGTCGGATTAAAATGGGATTGTTTGTTTGGTTCCCAGAAAACACTGTTAGAGTGCCACAACAACAGCCGACATCATCTCGTCTGTATGGCAGCGAAAAGGATCTTAACAACTTGTATAGAGGAGAATGAAAATTGCCCAGCCAGGCAAGTTGAATCCTGGTTGAGGAAGTTGATGTTTTGTACTGTGTAACTGGATATATAACTGTGTAGATGCTGTATATAAAGTGTGTGCGAGTACCTGCAGAACTCGGCTCATCCACTGGAAGCTGTCTTCCTCGGTGGAGTCGGGCCGCTGCTCTGCCACGACCACGATCCTCTCGTCATGAAGCACGGTGATGGAGAACACCGCTATCCTGAAACACGCAGCGTCGACATGATTCACAGCTGGACGACATCGTAACGTCACCTCTGGAGGATTAACGCAGCACAAACACTTACCTGCCCCTGTACACAAACTTCATGGGCTCTACAGCGAGCGCCGTCGCCACGATGTCGTCGGCGTTGTGACGACGGCCCCCGACCACCATCAGGCCGTCCATCTTCCCCGCCACGAAGATCAGACCTGCAGGCCCGATGAATCCCAGCAGGCCGGTCCTGGTGAAGGGAAACTCGCTGATGGGAGCCCCGTTGTTGGATGTGGGGAAGACCTGAAGAGTGTGAGAGGATGTGATTAAAACAGTCAGAAACGCTTAATTAATTAATCAATTAATCAACTAAATCCTTCACACGCTCACCTCGAAGGTGTTCTTGGTCATGCCGGCCAGACCATAGTAGGAGGTTCCAGTGGCAGCAGTGCAAACGCACAGCTCTCCAATCTCATCAGTCTTACAGAGCTGAGGGACACCTTCTGGTTTCACCGCACACATCATAGCTGCAGAGAGAGAAACCGGGGGAAGAAGCTTTTTATGAAAGAGAAACAATGATCAGATTAGTGTCATTTTACATGAATGATTCAAGTGCAGCTTCAGGTGAAATATGAGGTAATAGGTAATATTATAAGTTAAAGCCTGGTCCAGTATGCAACTTCTACAGTGTGATGTAGAAACCTGAAGCCAGACACTGAGAACGGAGTGAAGTAGGAGACATTCTGTGCCTTTAGAAATGAACAACATTTGCATATTCATAGATTCTGTCATTTTTAAGGAGTAGATGAGTTATTAAGGATTTTAATGTGGAAATTATACCTTTTTGAGAAAAAAAAAACACATTAGACAAACAGACTATTTGTATATGTATCTTAATACATATCTCGGAACATGAAAATCCCCAAAACAGCATATATAAGGTTTTTTAGATGAGTAGAAAAGGACAAGTGAAACAAGTGAAAAAAATGAGGATAGAAGGAAGGACAGAAAAAGGAAAAGCAAAGAAAGAATCAGGATCAGGATCAGCGGGTTCGCCATCCGTCTCACCTCCGGGCATGACGGAGCCGACGTCCTGCAGCGTGAGGACCGACAGCTTCTCCTCCGAGTCGACCCGGATCACGCCGTGACTCAGACCCTGCATGGACAACACGCCGCGACCAGGAGGGGTGCTGCCCTCCTCCACAGGCCTGCAGGAGGAGGGGTGGAGACTGCCAATCAGATCACAGGGAAAGGTGATGGAGTGCTGTCTGTCTTTGTGATGTGACAGCAGTTATTGGGAAGTGACAAGGTTTTGGGGAAGTGAGGGAACATTTTTACGGGGGTGAGAGCAATTTTGTTAAGTGAGGACATTTTTTTCAGATTGGAGACGTTTATTGGAAGGTGGCCATGTTTGTACGGCGAGGACATTTTTAGGAAGTACGGACAGTTTTGGAAAGCAACATTTTTGTTGAGCAAAGACCTTGACATTTTGGGGAAAATCACAATATTTTTGTTATATGAGAAAATGCTTTAAAAGCGAGGGCAATTTTTTGGAATAGAGCAATTTTAGAAAGTCACAACTTCCAAATTTCTTTTTAGAAAGTGAGGAAAATATATTAAAAGTGAAGACATTTGACCATATTTGTAAGGTCATGTATAGGAAGTATTGACAGTTTTGGAAACATTTTTGTTGAGCAAGGACAGGACTTTTGGACTTGGGACATTTTTGGAAAGTGAAGAAATTTTGGGAAAATCACAATATTTTAGGAAGGTCACAATATATTGTTATATGATGACATTTTTGAAAAGCTAAGGACAATTTTGGAAACAATTCACACTCAGTCACAATTCCCAAACTTTTTTTGTGGGAGCAGTTTTGGAAAGGGAGGAAGACTTTGTTAAATGAGGATTTTTTTTATATCAGGGGACATAATTGATTATTGGAAAATGAAGATATTTACAGAAAATGGGGACATTTATCTCAAAAAGAAGGCAACTTTAGAAAGTCAAGATATTTTTAGAAAGTGAGGACAATTTGGGAAAGGGAGGGCTATTTTTCCAGTCGTCACCGGGCTGTCCGAGGGTTATGTTAAGCTAAGGTTAGAAATAAACTGAGGTTAAAGTTGCTGTATGTCAATGAGGGTCCTCACAAGTACAGCTGTGTATAAGTGTGAGGGTTTGTGTGATTTTTATGAGTTTTGAAGCAGCTTTTCTGAAAATAAAGTGAGTTCATTACTACCACACCCGCTGCAGTAAAGTGCTATTTATTAAACTGTGTGTGGCACAAACACACACGCATTTAAAAACACACACTGTCACAGGGCTTTTGCAGTGTCGTAATTAAGAGCGTGGAGCAAAAATTACAGGCGACATGTGAATGAAAACCACCCTGGTTCCACTGTATTGTGGTTTTTTAACATGTTGCAGTTACAGTTACAGGAGGATGAAAGAGGTGGAAAGGTTGCACGTTTAGTTGTAAAGTCTTAATGAGTTAAAATAAGAACAGGATGTAGTGGAAGGAGGGCGAAGCCACTAAAACAGCCACTTATTTACTGAGGAGAGTCAATAAATATACGTCATGTAAAAATCATTTTAGTATTAAATTGTAAGTTTAAGTGATGAGGCCATAAAATAAGTGTCATTTGATTTGATTCCTTATAATGATGACAACCGGATTATATTTTACATTGTTTTTATAGTTTAGCATATTTGGAATAATACACTGACACTCTACAGTAAAATAAAAAAAAAAAAAAAGAGTTTGGCCTTTAATGTTTTTGAAATCATGATATTTAAATAAAAAGACATGCAGTGTGTTTTCGAGATGACACGTGCATGTGGAAGAACTGACTCTGGCCTGTATGCATGTGTACACGTGTATGTGTGTGTAAGTGTAGATATGTGTGTGTAGATATATGTGTGTGTACCTCCTTATAGCAACAGTCAGAGCCTCCGGGGAGCTGGCACAGGGACATATGACCTCCTGCTTTAAACCTTTAGACTGGAAAACGTTGAGGAAGGCGTCACAGGATGAGATCGACCCTGAGAGACACAATTTAAGAAGTCAAGGAGGAAGCAGCTCATTACAGGCGAGTCTTCGTGATATAATTGTCATTTGAAGTTCAGTTACAATTTTTTGTTTTTTCCCAAATATTTGGACACCAGCCAATCATAAAATGTTCAATGTGAACCATCTGTCAGCGGAGAAAAGTAATCTTTATTCTATTTATAACTACTGGCACAAGTTGTTTCCACTGGGGATGGAGAGAGACTTTTTCTGCCCTGGGTTTTCCCTCTCAGGCTATTTACAACCTTTCTGGACAACTTCAACATGGTTTTTTTTGGACTTGAAAAGATTCTGCATGTTGCTTAACAGGCGAAATGTATAATTAGGATAATTTCCTAAAAGAAAATGGACAATTAATCAAAGGGGAGACAGTAAAGGATAAATACAACATCAGGCTGACACAGAGAAATTGAGTTAGTACATTAAAATATACAACAGATTCTAGTTCTGTTTTTAGACTATTGTAATGAAAAACCCAATATTTAAAAGAAATAGTACATTCCTGCTCCAACAGCTTTGTAGTATGTAAATTGACACTAAATGTAGGGTTGGACATTCATTTCATGGTCCTTTTTGTTTTTAATGACTTCACGACCTTTAATATATCCACAGTGCAAACTTCAGTGTGTTCTTACAGGGATTTGAACCGTCAGCCACCACCAGCATGCGCAGGGAGGTCAGGTTGATGTCTCGCTGGTCCCGGTGGGCCACCAGAGCCCAGTGCATGTCCCGCGACTTCACACAGGCCACCTTAGCTATACACAAAAAGCACACACACAACAAAATGTAATTACTATAAACTCATGGACTAAAATCTGGGTGATTGCTTAAGAGCTTAGTGATAAAAGCTTGGGTGGGGTCTGACACACACTAAAGTTTGTCCAAATATCTTACATCACTGAAGAGTTTGTGTCTGCTTTCTAAACTTGGCAAGAATAGACTGATTTCTGTTCAATGGTTTATCAAAATAATATATCAATTATATTAAATCAGTACAATCAAACACAACCAGTGACCTCTTTCTGTTTTCCAGCAGGTTTCAAAATCTGATCTGCTGCCTTTTTCTATTTGAATAGTATTGTTACTCAGTTTGGGTTTTGTTACCTTTGTACTGGCAGACTTTTTGGATCCAGGACAGAGGGTTGACCTTCATGAGGGCGTAGGGAATACTGATGACGTGCATCATATTCATTACACTCTGACAGAGAGGCAGAAAATAACAGAGAGTGAGACATAAACAGATGGAAGTTCACCATTCTTATTTTCATATATTCTATAGTTATTATTTACTCTGACCAGATTTGGAAGTAGTCTTGGTTACAAAATAAAACATTTCTATGTTGAATTGGAAGAATAAAACATACAATAATAGTGTGTTTATTATACTCTGATTCATCATGTGGAATGATTAAGGTAAAGGTGGGTTTTTCTTACAGTCAGGACAGCGTGCCACAGTCCTACATCTTTCTTGAAGTCTAGTACATTCACTATGGTCTCAGCTGGAGGACGGCAGACAGACAGACAGACAGACACAGAAACACATTATTGTAAATGCAGTTTCACAGTTAAATTGTCTCTGAGCTGCAGTATCTGAAGGTGAACGGAGCTTCAGAGCGAATGGAGTGTAAATGTGTGTGTGTGTGTGTTACCTTCTGTGTAAGAGCAGGACTGCGTGAGGGCCTGGCAGTGTGTGAGCATGGCTATCCTCATCACCGTCACACCGAGCACGCTGCCGTCCTTACAGGTCTTATACTGGACAGACAAAGACAGAGAGAGAGAGTGAGTGGCTGAAGAGGTCTCATTAAGCCCGTTTACCCCTGGTATTAACATGCATCTTGGGTGATCCGATCACAATTGGACAGCTCTAAACAAAGTGTAAACCACTACTCAGACCACTCAAACTACCGACCGAGGTGGTCTGGGATGAATTTGACCACATATCCTTTGTACAGTGAACGATAATGAGTCCTGGGCCACAGTAAAGGACCCCCCTACTCAACTGACATCCTGTAAGTACACAAAAACACGCTGTCTATTTGGGTCATACTTCGATAAACCATAACATTTCTTCCTTGACCCTTCTGTAGTCTCACTTAGCAACTTGTTAGCAACCACATTTTTTAAGACACATAAAAGCTTCAAAATCCACAGGTGGGGTATTTTCTGATGTATTTTATGTCGTAGAAGCAAGCTTGTGTTAACCACAGACATTATTTCAGACATCTCACCAAAAACCCGCTGACCTAAAGGCGAGGGAACCGGATATCAAAAACATCCAAAATATCTGTGTTTGTAAGTGCACAGTTTCTAATAACCTAATAAAGAACTGTGAATGCTGACCCTTATACTTATATGTGAATTCAGTGACCTGTTTATTCTTGCCAGTTGATCTCTGAACAGATAAAATATAACAGCAACAAGTCTGTTGCCTCTGACTCCCCTTGTGAATAAAACCTATTTCTCAGTGTAGCTTATAAAACAATACAGGTGTTGTCAATACTGAATGTGACAACATATCTTGGCTGTCAGTCAACTGTGCGACTATGAAACATTGTGATAACAATATTAATATATATTTTGAGGCCTGAATCAGCTGTAACAATATTGATTGATGAATTTAGGGTTCTTTTTTTGCAGAGTTCCCAAAACCAAAATGATGTCTGAGTGCTGTGGAGTCGACAGTAATCGATAAAAAACCTTCCAGAATAAGACCTCGCCTGTCTGAAAAAGTCTGGCACCTCTCTGACAAACGACTGCTGGCATGAAAATGAAGCACATTATAAGCTGCTATTAAAGTTATGAATCATGTTGAGACATCTTACAAAAAGACAAAACTTGGAATTAAAAAAAAAAAAAAAAGATAAATTTCTCTGAGCTGCAGTCATTTAATTTGTCTCGACTGTCTGGGACGAGGCCTCGGTTAAAAAACAAAAGGTCAATCGTTTTTCAATCATCCCTCGACTGTCATCATTTTCCTCTCGGCCCTTTTTTTAATCCCCGGCGCAATCAAGGAGACGTTTCACCTTGTAATTACTGCCCGGCAGCTCAAAGGGACGTCAGGTAAGTTCAAATCAACCAGACGAGATGATAGCATTGAACGGCAGAGAAATAGTGAAACATCCACTCGGCCGCAGAGTGATTCTAATCCAAAGGACATGTAGCGCCATTGATTTCCATTCAAAAGAAAGTAATGACTGGAACTACACTGGTGGAATTGTTTTAGTGCCCCAGAGAAGACTCGCTTCAGTGTGTGTATCAGTGTGTGTGTGTGTGTGTGTGTTACCTCTATGTAGGCAGTGTCCTGGTTGGCATCCTTGATGTGTGGGAACCAGTCTCGGGGAGGTTTGGAGAGGTGTTTGGAC